TTAGTTTATTACTTTTTATTTGATTTAATTTTCTTTTTATCTATTTATTTATTTTACTTATGTTTTTTTCTTTTTCTATTATTTTTCTTAATTTAAATCATTTTTTAATATCAACATTTATTTATTAATTTCTTATTATTTCTTCATTTTCCTTCTAAATAGCTAATTATTAATATATTTTTTCTTGATTATTTAAAAAGTGAAAATAAAATTGGTGATTAAGGTTTATTAGGCCTAGGTTCTGGTTTAGCAAATTGCACTAACATCTCTAAATTAGAACTTTACCTAAGGTAAAAATAGTTTATTTTTTTTGAATTGTGATATTTTTACTTATACAATCAATATAACTCAGTTAATTAGTTTATTATCTTTTTATTTGATTTACTTTTCTTTTTCTTTTTTATTCTACTTTTTTGTTCTTCTTCTATCTTTCTTAATTTTACCTATTTTTTTATTTTCAAAATTTGCTTTTATTATTTATTATTTAATTTCTTATAATTTCATATCTTTTCTTTTTTCTTCATTATTTAAAAAGTAAAAATTAAATTGGTGATTAAGGGTTATTAGGCCTAGGTTCTGGTTTAGCAAATTGCACTAACATCTCTAAATTAGAGCTTTACCTAAGGTAAAAATAGTTTATTTGTTTTGAATTGTGATATTTTTTATACAATCAATATAACTCAGTTAATTAGTTTATTAGCTTTTTATTTGATTTACTTTTCTTTTTCTTTTTTATTCTACTTTTTTGTTCTTCTTCTATCTTTCTTAATTTCACCTATTTTTTATTTTCAAAATTTGCTTTTATTATTTATTATTTAATTTCTTATAATTTGATATCTTTTCTCTTTTTTTCCTTTTAAATTTATTTTTATTTTTTCTTCATTATTTAAAAAGTTTTAATTAAATTGGTGATTAAGGGTTATTAGGCCTAGGTTCTGGTTTAGCAAATTGCACTAATATCTCTAAATTAGTACTTAACCTAGGGTAAAAAAGTTTATTTGTTTTGAACTGTGATATTTTTACTTATACAATTGAATTTAAAACAATATAGCACTTTTAGTTTTTACTAGCTTTTTATTTGATTTACTTTTATTTTTCTTTTTTATTGATTGTACTTTTGATTTTTTTCTTCTATCTTTCTTAATTTCATTTATTTTTTTATTTTCAAAATATACTTTTATTATTTATTACTTAATTTCTTATTATTTCAAAATCTTTTCTTCTTTTTTTCCTTCTAAATTAATTTTCTATTTTTTCTTGATTATTTAAAAGTTCTAATAAAATTGGTGATTAAGGTATATTAGACCTTGGTCCTGCTTTAGCAAATTGCACTAATCTCTCAAATTTTAATCTTGATATTGGGTAATTTTAGTTTATTTGTTTTGGATTATAATATTTTTACTAATAAATATGTATATAAAGACAATATCACTAACTCTTTTAATTTTTTAATTAGCTTTTTATTTGATTTACTTTTATTTTTTTTATTGTACTTTTGAATTTTTTCTTTTAAATAAATTATTAAATTTTTTCTTCAATATTTAAAAAGATATAATCAATTTAGAGCAATCTGTACATCAGAGTTAGGTTCTGCTTTAGCAAATTGCACTAATCTCTCAATGTTGAAACTTAATTTTGGGTAAAAATAGTATATTTGTTTTGGATTTGGTATTTTCACTTAAAAAATCAATTTAAAACAATATAAATATTTTAATTTGTTTATTTGTTTTTAAATGATTTATTATATATTAATCTTAAATATAATTTTTAATTAAAAAATATTATTCTATTTAATTTTCTTAAGTATTTTATTTTAATTTTATATAAAAGTTTTTTGAATATCAGTAAATCATAAGCGTAGAAATTAAAAAGCAAGTGTATTAAATCAAAAAGATTAGTTGTCCTTACAATAAATTACAGATGGTGATATACAAGTGGAAAAAAAAGAATAATAAATAAATATTAAATATTTGAAAAATAGAAAATAATATGTTTTATTATATATCATAGTTTCTGCTGAAATTTACCAGCTAGACACCCTGTATCAAATTTATTAAATGGACACATTGGGGCCGGGCTGGAAAAATAAAATATTTTTTTATTTTTTTTCTGAGACAGAAGGCACTTTTTTCTATATATGTATTACCCTTTAATTCGCTTTGAAGTAGATCTTCCACTTACTTATAAAATTCTTCTATCTAATCGAATCTATTGAACTGTGCTTCTATCATTGATTGAACCATAAGAACCTAGAATTTCATTTCTGGATACTTACAAGTTTTAAGAATTTCTAAACTTTCTTTATTCAATTTTTCTGCTTCTTCAAATTTATTAGAATCAAGATATTTTGTTATAAAGTGAAGATTGATTTCCAAAATAAGATTTTGATCTTCAGGAGTTATTTTCATATCTTTTTTAACTTGTAAATATTCCAACCCATATTTTTCTTTTCCCTCAATATCATTCGTTTCAAAAGACAAGTATGCTGCTTTTTTTAAGTAGAGATGATATAAATCTTTAATTTAATCTTTAATTGGTCTAATCATCTCGCATGCTCTTTATGCAAGGAAGTTAGATTCTTTCAAATTTTTTAGTTTGTTTTAGAGTTAAAATTACTCCATAGTAAGCTGAAGAATAGCTTTGTATAAGGTAGAGTGATCAATTTCAACGTTTTATAAGTATCTGTTAACATGATAAGAATAGCTCAAAGCTTCTTAATACCTTTAAAGTTATTTAAGTGATTCGATGTGGAAAAACATACTGATAAGTACTTATTAATCAAAAACTGTAAAAATATGATTCTAAAAGCAATAATGTGTCCACTTTCTACCCCAAAACACTGAATATTCAAAATCTTTCTTAGAGTAATACAAATTCTTCAAATGATTAAGATTCAAAAGAGTAAGTGAATCTTATAAAAGAAGCTAGTTTCTGTTTTCTAGGAGCATTTTGTTAACTTCTAAAGAGATTTCAATAGATTTATCTATTTAGTTCTTTTATCTGTAAAACTCTGCCTACCTCTCCTTAATATTAGCAATTTAAAGCCAATCACTTTTTTGAACTAATTTTTTTAACAACTGTTCTAAGTATGCTAAACCTTCATCAAATTAATTATTTTTCAAAAGAGATAATGCTTTTTCTTCTACTTCTTAATTCCAAACAAGAACTTTACCATTTTCAACTTCTTTTTTTTGTTAGAGTTCTTCCTATTATTTCAACGAATTGTATTCTTATTCATATTCACTTGTTCTATGTAAACCTTTGAAAAGTTAAAAATTTTGAAAGTTATGCTATTCTAGATTAACATCAGGATATTTTCTTATTTCTTCTTAAATCTTTTTCAATTCATTTGTATTTTTGAGCTATTTGTAACATATAGAGGCGACTACCAGACAGTTGTAAGGTTTTTCAACAGGAAAATTATTCTTCTAGATCAACTAATAGCAATACATAGCATATTTAGCTGCATCATTAAAGTTTTAAAGAATATAGCAACAGCTACTGTAAAGAAAAGATATTTCATAGAACTCTTCATCTGGATAACTTGTATAATTGTTTTTTTCATTATGATCAACTAACATTTTGAGAATATTGTATGCAACTTAAAATTGCTTTACATCAATCATCTATATTGCTATTTCATTAATCAAACTAATAGCTTCATAAGTATTCTTAGATTGCTTTAATTCTTCAAACATTTATAATGCTATTTTTCCTGTTTCATGGAAATTTCCAATCTCATAAAACAATTTCATTTACCTAAGCTTTAAATACCTAACATAATTGTTCAATTAATCTTGATTAACTTTAGTCATGATTTCTAAAGCTACTTCATTCACATAAATAGCCTTCTCATTCTCTAACCTTTTGTTAAATGTACCTTAATAGTATTGACATATATCGATAATTAAGCTAATATCTTTAACTTATTTTATTTTTTCATTGAACTAATTAAATAGAGATGAAGAATCAATGTTTTTTTTTTAATTTTGTTCAATTAATGTAAAAAAATCCTTCTCTTAAAATTCTACTGATTAAGAGAAATAACATGTACTTGCTTAAACTAGACTTGCAGATTATTTAAACATAAACTGAATAGGAGAAGCTTTTAGCGCTACCTATCTTGTTACATTTTTTAATAATGGAGTCTTTAGATACTTTTAAAAGTATCTAGCTTTTTATAATAAATTCATCTATGGTAAAATTTAAAAGATATTATTTAACGCCAAAAGATATAAATTATTTATTTATTTATTTCTAATCAATCAGAAAAGATTTATTTATCTATAAATCAGATAAGATTTATTTTTAATAAATCAAGTATCCAATTTTTAACAATTTAAGTACTTTAGAGGATTTTTTAATATTGTCTTAAAAAATTAAAAAATGTATTTCTATTTTTAACTTAATTATAACTTAGTAAATTCATTTTCAATTTTATTTATAAATAAAGCATTAATTATAAAATAAATGATAAATAGCTATTATAAATAACTAAAATTAGGAATTTTAAGTTCTTAAATATCTTCATAATACCTTAATGAATGATATCAGCTAAATGATACCAACAAAGAGCATTGTTTATATACAAAAAGACAAAAAAATAAAAAGCAAGATGCCATTCAAAAATTCTGTTGTTTGGATGTTACTTATTCTGAAATTGATTTTTTTCTATTTATTAAAAAATCTGATTTTTATATTTTTTTACATTAAAGATTTTAAATTTAGCTAAATTTTCTGAAGTGGGGTTGTCAGCAAAAATACATGATTTTGGGGCAATTAATTTCTGTCATTACTAAAAACTAATTTAAAATTCATATAATTTATTTTTTCTTTTAATCCACCTATAATTAATTAATTAAATTTTCATAAATTACTAAACAATATTTTCGAAAAAAATAATAAATGATATCATAGATTTAAAATTACACTGAATTAAAAAAAGTAATTATTTTTTTCTATCAATATTCTTTAAATTTATTTTTACTAATATAAAAAGCTTTTAAATTCTTAACTTAAATCTCATTAGGCTCTCCATATTGACCTTAGGTATATTTATTTAATTAAAAAATATTATTATTATTAATATTTTCTAAACACTTAACTTTCAATTTATTGAAAATATTATTTTTCTAATAGAAATTATCACCTATTTTCATTTATTTTATCTATACAAATGTTTTTTTAGTTATTACAACTTAATTTTCACTTTAAATATTTCAAATTAATTATCCATTTTTATTTATTCATAATTACTTACCAAAACTTTTACTTGATAAAAAATAACTTATTTGTTTTTGGTTATGATTATTTTTAGTTTCAAAAATGAATTTAAAACTAAATATTTTTTTAATTTGCTTATTAGTTTTTATTTGATTTACTTTTCTTTTTCTTTTTTATTTTATTTGTGTTTTTTTTCTTCTATTTTGCTTAATTTAACTCATTTTTTAATTTTAACAAAGATATTTTATTATTTATTAATTAATTTCTTATTATTTCATACTTTTTTTTCATTTTCACCTTCTAAATAAATAAATAATTAATCATAAATTTTTTCTTCAATATTTAAAAAGAAGCAAGAGAATTGGTGCTTAAGATGCATCAAGTTTAGGTTTTGCTTTAGCAAAATGCACTAATTTGTCAAATTTGATACTTTATCTTAGGTAAAAGCAGTTTATTTATTTTGGATTGTGTGTGATATGTAAGTTTCATTATAAAAATGAATTTGAAACAAAAAAATGAACTCTTTTAATTTATTTATTAGCTTTTTATTTAATTTAATTTAATTTACTTTTCTTTTTCTTTTTTTATTGTACTTGTATTTTTTGTTGTTCTATCTTTCCTCATTTTTTTATATTTATTAATTATTTCATATTTTAAAAAGTAACAATTATATTGGTGATAGAGGTGTATCAGGCATAGTTTCTGGTTTATCAAATTGCACAAAAATCTCAAATTTGACACTTACACTTTGGTAATAGCAGTTTAATTGGTTTGGATTTCATTTAATTAGTTAATTAGCTTTTTATTTGATTTCCTTTTCTTTTTCTTTTATATTCTACTTGTGTTTTTTCTTCTTCTATCTTTCTAAATTTAACTTGTTTTTTTATTTTCGATACTAGCTTTGATTATTTATTAATTAAATTCTTATTATCTAAAATTTTTTCTTCATTTTTTCCTTCTAAATAGCTAATTAATTAATTATTTATTTATTTTTCTTCAATATTTAAAAGTGACAATTAAATTGGTAATTAAGGAGTATCAAGCTTAAGTTCTGCCTTAGCAAATTATACTAATCTCTCAAATTTCATACTTTATCTTGGGTAAAAACAAACAGTTTATTTATTTTTTATTATGATATTTTTACTAATAAAAATGAATTTAAAACAATAAACATCACTTAATTCGTATATTAACTTTTTTTTGATTTATTTTTTATTTTATTTGTGTGTTTTTTTTTTTTCTACTATATTATTAATTTAACTCGTTTTTTATTTTTCAACATTTATTATTTATTTATTTAATTAATTAATTTCTTATTTTTTTATATTAGTTCTTCATTTTTACCTTCTAAATAGCTAATTTATAATATATTTTTGATCAATATTTAAAAAGTATCAATAACATTGGTGATTAAGGTATATCAAACTTAGGTTCTGGTTTAGCAAATCTCACTAATCTCTCAAATTTGATGCTTTATCTTAAGTAAATACAGTTTATTTGTTTTGGATTGAGATATTTTTACTAAAAAAATGAATTTAATATTACTCAGTTAATTAGTTTATTACTTTTTATTTGATATAATTTTCTTCTTATTTATTTATTTATTTATTTTACTTATGTTTTTTTTTCTTTTTCCACTATGTTTCTTAATTTAAATCATTTTTTAATTTCAACAATATTTATTTTTAGTTATTAATTTCTTATTATTTCTTCATTTTCCTTCTAAATAGCTAATTAATAATATATTTTTTCTTGATTATTTCAAAAGTAAAAATAAAATTGGTGATTAAGGTTTAATAGGCCTAGGTTCTGGTTTAGCAAATTGCACTAATCTCTCAAATTTGACAATTTATCTTGGGTAAATTCAGTTTATATGTTTTGGATTGTGATATTTTTACTTATGAAATGAATTTAAAACAATATAGCTCATTTAATTAGTTTATTAGCTTTTTATTTGATTTACTTTTCTTTTTCTTTTTTATTCTACTTTTTTTTACTTCTTTTATCTTTCTTAATTTAACCCATTTTTTTATTTTCAAAATTTGTTTTAATTATTTATTATTTAATTTCTTATAATTTCATATCTTTTCTCTTTTTTTCCTTCTAAATTAATTTTCTATTTTTTCTTCATTATTTAAATAGTGAAAATTAAATAGGTGATTAAGGATTATTAGGCCTAGGTTCTGGTTTAGCAAATTGCACTAATATCTCTTAATTAGAACTTTACCTACGGTAAATATAGTTTATTTGTTTTTAATTGTGATATTTTTACTTAAAACAATATAGCACTTTTAATTTTTTACTAGCTTTTTATTTGATTTACTTTTCTTTTTCTTTTTTATTGATTGTACTTGTTTTTTTTCTTCTATCTTTCTTAATTTCATTTATTTTTTTATTTTCAAAATTTATTTTTATTATTTATTACTTAATTTCTTATTATTTCATAATTTTTCTTCTTTTTTTTCCTTCTAAATTAATTTTCTATTTTTTCTTCATTATTTAAAAGTTATAATAAATTTGGTGATTAAGGTATATTAGACCTTAGTTCTGCTTTAGTAAATTGCACTAATCTCTCATATTTTAAACTTGATATTGGGTAATTTTAGTTTATTTGTTTTGGATTGTAATATTTTTACTAATAAAAATGTATATAAAACAATTTAACTAAATCTTTTAATTTTTTAATTAGCTTTTTATTTGATTTACTTTTATTTTTTTTATTGTACTTTTTAATTTTTTCTTCAAAATTTAAAAAGATAGAATCAATTTAGAGCAATCTGTACATCAGAGTTAGGTTCTGCTTTAGCTAATTGCACTAATCTCACAAAATTGATACTTGCTTTTGGGTAAAAACAGTATATTTGTTTTAGATTGTGGTATTTTTACTTAAAAATCAATTTAAAACAATATAAATGTTTATTTGTTTTTTATTTGATTTATTATATGTTAATCTTAAATATAATTTTTAATTAAAAAATATTATTCTATTTAATTTTCTTCAGAATTTTATTTTAATTTTATATAAAAGTTATGACTAAATCAGTAAATCATAAGCGTAGAAAGTAAAAAGCAAGTGTAATAAATCAAAAAAATTAGTTGCCCTTACAATAAATTACTCATGGTGATTGATATACAAGTGGAAAAAAAGGATGAATAAATAAATATTAAATATTTGTAAAATAGAAAATAATATGTTTTATTATATACTATAGTTTAGGCTGAAACTTACTAGCTAGCTAGACACCCTGTATAAAATTTATTAAATGGACTTAAGATCAAAAAAATATATAAATATATTTTTATTTTTCAAAGTTCAAATATGAAATTAATTTATAATATTTAAAATTAAAATTCTAAAGAAGAAATTTCTTTAAGTGTTTAATTTAAAAAAAATAAAATTTCATTTTTAATTCTTAAAATTTATTTAAAAGACTATATATATGCCAATTTATGTATATGACTGACTAAATGAGTAAATAAATATTCAGCCATTTAATTTAATTTCATATTTTGATATTAAATTTTAAACTTAACTGGAATAATTACTATCTCTTAATAGATGAGCTAAAATAGTTTTCTATTTTTCCTATAACTATTTTTTTTTTTAAGTTTGTTTTTCAAGTTATTTCTCAACAGATTCAATAAATCTATTCATGTCATTTTTAGAATAGTACAAATTGCTTTAAAATGCCAATAGCTGAATTTCTGTATTATCTTTCAGAACTCCTAAAGGTAATTATTCAAATGACTATTATAAAGTGTTTAAACTCTCTTCAGCTTCTTTTATCATATCTAATCTAAAGCAAGTAGATATGTAATACATCAAGGCTTTAAGATAAATTTATTCAAGTTATTTATCTTTTTTGGTTAGATCTAGGCATTATGTAAGGTAAGGTTATGATTCTTTAAATTTTTTTTCATCAAATAATTTTTATCCTAGCATTAAAAAAATTGTACTTTTAAAAATCAATGTTTCTTCTTAATCTTATTTTTCATATTTATTAACTAAATCGATATATTCTTTGCCAAATTCAAGTATATTTTTTGGGTCATTTTTCTTAAAATAATTTATCATCAAATAGAGGTTCGAACTGTAATAAAGATATTCAGCTTATGGTTTGACTTTATCTTTATTTAAGTGATAAATCTTTGCAGCTAATCTTGTATATTTTTCTACCTCTTCAGGTTTATTTAGCTTAATATAAAGAGATGTCTTAATTAAGTACACTTCAAGTAACTCGAGTTCTTCATTAAATTTTTCCAGGTATTCTTGAGCAAAGTTGCTATATTCCAGGCAATGTTAGGTTTATCCTAATAAATTTAAAGAGGCCATTTAAATTTGCAAGGAAAAAGCAACTTCTTTGTCAAAATGATCGAATAAGTTATAATTAATACAGTAAGAATGCCATTTTTCTCCCCACTCAATAGTTTTTTAAAATTCCTTTGCTTAATAATGTAATTGCTTAAGAAGAGTAATATTTTAAAAAGTTATTCTGTCTTCATAAAGAATATAATTTCTCTGCTTTAAAAGTTTTTGATGAGTATTTAAACACATATCTATTGCTTATTAGCCGTTTTATAGGCAAGAGTGTAAGCTTGCAATGGTATCCTGCAAAAAGAAAAATTTTAAAAAATCTTTTTCTTTATCTAATTATTTCTAAAGCTATTGAAAATGCTAAATACCTTCATTTGCTTATAATTTTTCAACAAACTACTAATAAAGATCAATAATTTCATTGTAGAATAATAAGTTTTCTATATCTTTTTATTGAATCTCTTAAGCTAATTTGTTATCTTAGTTTAGATTAAAGTGAACCTTTAATTTTAACTATTATTCTTTCATATTTAAAGGGTTAAAATTAGGAATTTCCTTATGGTTTTTAAGAAGTTTAAGTACTGCTTCAGCCTCTTTATCCTAATTCAATTTTTTAAAACAAATGACTAGTCCTAAAATTATATTTTAAACTGTGTAATTTTCTTCCTATTTTTTACTATTTTTTAATAATTCGTATGATAATAACCCATATTCTTTGGCTTTCTCATAATCTTTCTATATGAATGAAGTAGAGTAAAGTAAAAAATATATTCCTATTAGCTAACTATTTGATATCTCCAATGTAGAACCTGATTAAATAAGGCTGATGGATTGTTCAGCTAAATTTTGGCTTTGCTCATATTATTTGATAAACTAAAATATAGTAGCTAATATTTAATTCATTTCTATTTTCTCAATTATGCTTAATTATTCTTTTGAAACTTAATAAAAGACTAGGAGTTCTTATGCTTCTTTTTTCGCTTGATCTATTAAACCTTAGTCAGTTATCAGCGAAATGTACTTTGCTTTAAAATAGAGATAAGAATAAATTCCTCTACCACTTGAAAGCTTTTTTGTCAAATCAATAGCCAGATTACATATTTGTAATGCTTTACTAACTTCCATCCTTAACTGAAATTCTGTTAAAATATTCTTACAAAAAAGCAACGCCTCTTCAACATCATCGATTAATTTAATCTATTGATTAAATTAGCCAAGTAGAGAATTCGATTCAATATTTTTTACATCAATTTTCTTTAAATATTCAGATTAGCTCTTCTAAAAAATGCTAAATGAAAAATGAATATTTTAATTCAAAAACTAAGTTCTTTATTTTTTATACTAAGCTATTCTAGTACTAAACTTATTTTAGCAGATAAACTAATATCCAAACCTTTTTAAACTTTGAAATTATCTCATCATTATTTAGCTAGGAGCTGAATCCTTTTAATTTATTTGGATCTTTGTTTGTACTATTATTAATTAATGTAAACAAAATACGTTTTTAAAATAAAGATAGAGAGTAAAAACTCATAATTTATTTATATTTTTTTGATAAATCCTATTCAATATTATTAATTAAAAATGAAAATCTTTTATATTAACAAATCAATTTATATTCTGATTAGGCTATTTGTATGATAAGATATATAAACATATAAATATAATTCTAATTTTAACTTATCAAATAGAATTACTTTTTATAAGATTGGATTATTCAAATAAATTCATTTTAATTTATAGCTTTAGTTTGCTAAAAAGACTTTTTAAATTTGTTAAAAAAGCTAACAAGCACATTTCAAGCCTTTTGTTTGTTTTTAAATACATGATTTGAATGAAATTTTTTTAAAATTAATTGATCAAAAATTAAATGGAGAAAATTTTAATATAAATTACAAACATTTCTTTTTATTTTTTAATAAATAATTTTTTTGATAAAAAATCAAATCAAAATTCAAATATTCAAATCTATATTGAATTTTTCTACTAACTCTCTAACTTATTTTGAATAGGCTTAATCTTCGAGAAGCTGTTTCAAGATTTATCTCTACTGTTTTGTAAGAGGTTCTTTTGATTTTTGTTACAATACCAATTATTTTGTAAAGAATTCGAGAGATTTATCATAATTTTTTTTAAGACTAAAAATAATACTTTGAATTTAAATCAGTGAAATTAAGGCATTTTATTTGTCATTAGGATTATCTATATTTTTTTCATAAATGTTTTATGCAATTTTTAAATACTCTTCAGCTTCATCTATCTTTGATACTTTAATAGCGAGAGGAATATATTAGAATACTTATCTAATATAAAAATCTTTTATTTCATTATCAGTGCTTGCAAGTTGCAAACACTCTCTCGTTACTGCTTCTGCTTCAAAATAATTCTTTTCATTTATTAATTACTAGCTCAAATGGAATAAAATAGATACTCTTAATTAAATCATATCTAGAGAATCTTCATATGTTTATCTTATTCTAAGATACTCTTTTCCAAAAAAAATAATATTATTTCTGTCATTTACCAACACAAAATGAAGAGATATTGATTTTAATGCATTGTAATATATTTAAGTATAATTAGATTTTTTAGAGAGATCAGCTTTATTCTAATCTATAACAATTCTGATTTCCTTTATAATTTAATCTATTTAATTTAAATTTGTATAAATATTCACTCTCATCATTCTAACTTCAAATGAAATTTATTTAAAGTTAAACTTTTCTAAGTATCCTAATGCAAAATTACATTAATTCAGTGCTTCTTCCGTTTTATTCAATTGCAACAGAGAATCTATTTATGATTATAGACTCAAAGCTAGTTTTTCATTTTTGATGTTATATAAATTATATTATTTACAAAAAGATTCAAGTTTTTGTCCCCATTCATAACTTTTTTGAAAGTCCTTCAGCATAAAGTAAAATAATTTAATTTAGTAAATATTTAATTAAGTCAATTGGTCGTCGTGCAAAATATTATTTCGTAAACTTAGTAATTCTTAATGATTTTTCAAGCTCATCTCTAAGCTTTTTGTTATATTATTCTATTGAGAATATAAAAAGGATTGACATTCTCTCAAAAATAATATCTTTAAAACTTGTTATTCGTGGTTAAGATCCTATATAAGTTATTCAAAGTATTGAATACCCTCGTTTAAATTATTATTTTCTAAAAATTTATCTCTTTTTTCTTTCATAATTTCAAAGAATTCTTCATTATCACTGAATAGATTTTCTTATTCATTCTTTGATTCTACTTCAAATGAAAATTTTTTTTTGTTAGGATAGTAAGATATATTGTCAATTTATTCTAATTTAAAATCAGTAATAGGTTGATATTGCTTTAAATTTTCTACAATTTTTTTACATTCTTGAGGCTACTTTAGAAGCTTGTGGCATAAATATTAGCATATCAGCGCTTTCTAAGCTTACAAAGATTATTTCTCATTATTAACAATATCATAAGCCATTTTAGCATAATTTAAAGCTTCTTGATAGCTCTACTTTTGAAAGTTAAAATCAAAATGCATAAAATAAAAGCCATAAATTTAACTATTTGTTAACTCTAGTGTTGAGCTTGTCTAGAAAAGTACCAATGCTTCTTATAAAAAATTATGTTGTAATTCTTAAAGACCAACTCTACAGACAGAATCAGCTAAAAATAAGACAAGCCTAAATTTTTACTATGCATTCAACTACTCTTTAGATGCCAAATAGTAAGCGTATAGCTATTTTGATAGCTAGTTCATTTCATAATCATTATTTTATTAGCAAGCTATCTCTATTTTATTCACCATAAAAAAAGAATGAGCTTAAATCTACTCCTGACTTGAAAGCTGCTTACTTAATTCTAAACCTAGATTGCAAACTTATAATGAGCTTTCATAGTTAGATTTTGTTTTAAACTGCTCAAGAGCTTATTTACATAATTAAATTGCTTATTCTTTATCTCTAGAATTATCTATATTTACCAAAAAATCATCAAAAGAAGAAATAGATTTTAAATCTTATTATCTAACAAATGTGCCAAAACTATATTTAACACTTTGAGGATATTTCATTTGATTAAACATAAATCTTTAGGTAAGTTAGTGATATTTTATGAGTTAGGTTGTCTTATATAAGTAACCTTTTAAAATTAAATTCTTTAAATTATTCATTTCACACTTTCTAGTTTATGGCTGTTCTATTAATCAATAAATTGACAATTTTTATTTTAATAATAAAATAGATCTTTTAATTAATTAATAATTAATTTTCAATCAAAACGAAAAAACTGGTTTCTTTAATTATTTTTATTAACTATTTCTAATGTAATTAATTTTTTTCTATATATCCAGTAAATATCTTATTCAATTTAAATGCATTTATTTTTTAAATCATAATATATTTTAAATTATTATCAAATAATACTGTAATTTCTCATATACTAATACCAGCTACTTAAGCATAAATTTTTAAATTTAAAAAAAGTGTAAAAAAATTATTTATTTTTGAAATTATAATAAATTAAATAATTAATTTTAATTCTATTATAAAATATAAAAATCAGATTTTTTAATAAATAATTAAAAAATCTATTTCATAATAAGTGACATCCAAACTTCAAAATTTTTGAATTGCATCTTGCTATAATTTTTTGATGAGATTAATAAAGATATAAATAGCTTACATTTATTTAACTAATTTAAAATAAACTTAAAAATAATAGCGATTAAAAAAATAATTTCTTAAATTATTAATAAAGAAATATTTTATATTATATTATTATAAGCAGTTTATATAAAACAAATTAATACATAATCTATTAGCTATTAATTAGAGCTATAGCAATAAATAGCTTAAACTTATTTTATTATACGTTAAAATATAGAAAATATTTATTGACTGATAATTCAAGATGAATCAAATGATATGTTATTAGTTAGTATAAGTTCTCTAATGGTATTTTTATATTCCTACTTTTTATAAAGTGTCTTTAATATCTCTACGACTTTAGAGTTTATTCTATATCTTAACTTTTTATAAATCTAAACATATTTTTCAATATATTTAATAGATTAATTGAATTCGTTTTTATTGTAATGAATTAAACTCTTATTTAAATACACTTCAAGTTTTAAGTTCTCATATAGGTTTTAGTCATTCTCTAAATCCATTTCACCTCCATTACTTATATTTTCTAGGATTTCTTCTGCCTATTATATGCACTTTTCTGCTTCTTAGTATTTTAATTGTTTCTAAGACATTTAAGATTCTGCTAGTAGGATTTTAATTAAATAATTTTACATATTAGGATTTTAATTGATTAAGTCTAAAACCTAGTTAATCATCTATTTAGCATCTTTGTACTATCTTTTAGAGATCATAACTAAAATTATTTAATGTTAAAGTTTAATCCTAAACTCTATATTCTCAAATTCTGTTTCTTCATCCTTTCTCAATTATAAGTATAATCTTCCATACTTGTATATATTTTACTCATCTTATAATTCTTAAGCAAACCTACAGCACTTAAGGACACTTTAATATAGCAAATTCTTTTCTCTCTGAGTAAGAATTTTTAAGTTTTTATTGTAATAATCAATAACTACTTACCCATTTTTGAGTGCTTCAGGTAAATTATTAATATCTGAGTAAATATTAAAAAGCATGCCATGAAGAGCTCTTAACATATCTTCATTATTAAATTTCTCCAAGTACTCTTATATAAATTTGCAGTATTCTAGAGCTTCTTCTTACTAATTCAATAATATCAATGAAGAAGCTTAAGAAAATAAATTTTCAACTATAAAATCATCGTATATATCAAAAATATTATATTAAATACAATAAGCATGCCACTTTTTACCCCATTCAACACTTTTAGCATAATCATTTTTGGAATGATAAAAGAATTTTATGTAAAGGATATTTTATAATGTCATATTGTCTTTCATTAGTATATTGTTACGAAGTTTAAGTATTCTCTAATGAGCTTCTAAAGATAACTCTAATGCTTTATCAAATTCGTCAATTTTACTATACAAATACGCAAGACGGTCAGACACTTAAATAATCTTTTCTTAATCCCTAATACTATCAAGTTTGGTAAGGATGTCTTTGTAATATTCTATGCCTTTGTCTATTTTATTTTATTCAATAAAAAATCTTCCTTTGTCATCTTTTTCATTCCAAATTGTATCACTTTGCTTGCTAATTTTTTGTTTTAAAATGTTAACAAGTGGAAAATTTGCATAATTAAAATCATATAAGATTTAGTCTCTAAATTATTTCTATTATACTTTCTCAATATCATCACTCTTTTGATGAGTTAAGAGTAGATTAGAAGAAGCTAAATTTTTTTATTTCTTTTTAAAAGGAACAAATACTAGTTTATCAATATTACTAAGATTAATTCCATCTTGTGGGTACTTTAGTAATTCAAGCAAGACTTACTACTATCCCAATTCATTATTAATAAATTTAAGGCATTAATAAATTCCTAATAGAATAAAAGAAGGACTTACAAAAGGGTTTCCTTTCATCATTTAATAAGCAACTAATCCGTAGTGAAGAGCTTGCTCATATTTCTATTGAAGAAAATAGCATCCAAAATGAATATAATATAAATCATAAACTTCACCCCAAGATAGATCAATTCTCTCATCATTCTGCAAAGAATCAACTGTCCCATTAAGATACCTCTCAGCATGTTCTACTAGATTTACTTTAGCCATTGTTTCAGCTAAATAACTTTGGTATTTAATTCTAGTTGTAGAATCTAAAATTTCCCTTGAAAATAAATATAATGCATAGAGCTAATCTGCTAATTTATTCATATCGTTCAAATCACCTTACTCATATTTTAAAAGTATTTTCTGCCCCATAAAATACATTAAAGTAGTAGGAGAATAGTTCTTCTATTATCTATCAATAGCATAATCGCAAATCTGAATAGCTTTTTGAGTTTCAATCCTATTTTCAAACTGTTAAATAAAATAAACACAAAATTAATTGACTAAGTCTGAGTTATCAATTTTCTCTATATTATCCTAAAATCTTTTCATTAGAGTTTCTGAATCTATCTTGTTTGTTAATTTATAATTTCTCAACTCTTCAAGCTACTTCTATGAAACAACAGCATCTGTGCTTGAAAATTTAAACTTGATTTGATTGGAATAAAGAGGAGAACTGTTTGCAATGCAATACCTTGAAAATTTTAAATACCTACAAGTTGAACTAGTTAGCTATTTAAAGAGTTTCATTACCTAATTAGTTATAAAAGTTCAATCTAGTTTAATTTATAATTTGTTTATTTATTTATTAAATGATTTTTTTAAGTTGAAAATTTTGATTTATTGGTCTCAAACAATAATCAACAAATTTCTAGATTTCAATCACTGATTTTAGTAAATTCTATTTCAATATATATTTTTTTTTAATAAAAATGTAGATATTAAATATCCTTCCATGATGGTTACAACAAATATCTTCTCTTAAAAATCTAACTAGGATTTCAATCAATCAAATCTATTTTTTTCACTACATTTTTTTTAAGCAATCTAAGTAGACTCTTTTTCTTTATAATTTGTGGTGGAAGATTCCAAATTTTATCTATCAAGAAAGTAAATTATAATATCCAAATAATTTCTAATTTTCTAAAAATTTCTTAAAAATTCAAAATTAATTCTAAAATTAAAATAGAAGAATCTAATTTAATAAATAGAATAATTTATAAAAATAAAACATTTACAAACAAATACAACATAAATAAATTAAAAATATTATTTTATTTATGTTAAAATTTTTACAAAAAATCAATCATTAAAATTATTTTTATTAATTTTATAAAATAAATAAAATTTAATGCTACTTGGAATAAATTTGAAAAATATGGAATATATATTTATCTACTTTTATGTAAATTAATAAATATAAAAGTAAATTTTCAATTTAGATTTATTAAATAAAAAGGTTTAGAATTTTATTTTAAAAAAATCTTTTTATTAAATATTTTATCAGCAATTTTATTTATTAGAAAACAAATACATCTAATTTAAAAACAAAGCTTTTTTATTTAATATTTTATAATTTTATCTAAATTAAATTTTTTTAAATAATTATTTGATATTTAATTAATCATGAAAATAATATTTTAAATCACGAAAATAATTTCTATTTTATATTATTTGTTAATATAAAATATTTGAATATTTCTAAATCAGTATTAATAAGTTCTTATTATCATTTAGATTTATTAAATTCAAAAGGTTTAAAGTATCTTTTTAAAAAATATTTTATCAATTTATTTACCATTTTTAAAGTAAAAATAAATAATTAACTAATAGTTTGGTATCAATTTTTTTTGTTTCATTGAAAATAAATATTTATAATACAAATGTTAAGTTTTTTATTTTGTATTTTCAGATTTCGATTAAGTTTAATTTATTAAGGAAACTTACAATATATTTCTAACTTCAAGATACTATTTCTTGCAATTTGATTTTACTATTTTGTTTGATGTTGAATTAAATAATTATTTTTGAAATTTATACTAAAATTTCATATTTTGTTGAATAATAGCAATATCACTTTTCTAGAAAAATTAATGAAAGAAAAAAAGATAATTAATGAATAGATAGATACTATTCTAAAAATTAAATACCTATCCTATAATATTTGTTTCATTTAAAATAATTTTTTAATTTAATATTTTATTTGAGATATTAATTACTTTTTAGTATTTTTAATTTAACAAATTATTATGTTTTATATTTCTATTTTTAATTACATTTGTATTAGAATAAACTAAACGATTTAATTTAAAGAATATTAATTATGGTTATAAAATATTTATGATAGAATTAATATCATAAAAAGATAAAAACTATTTAATATTTAAGAATGATATAATAAATAAAATGCTTATAAAATAATTCGACAGAAAAAAAAAAAAGAATATTTAGATTTATATTATGCAATTTTATTAATTATTATAAGGTTTTGAATAATTTAGATAGATTAATATTTGATGAAGAAGGTGGGTTATTGTATTTCAAATTATTTGTATTTATGGTGAAATTCTTAGTTAAGCTTCTTCTTCATAAATATTTTTGAATTATGCAATAAATATTGTTTGTGGATGATTAAAGATTAATTATGCACTTGAAAATATATTTGATATTTTGTATTTTTAAAAATATTTATTAAAAAACCTCTTTGTTAATTTGTGTTTATCTAATTTTTTTATTTTAGAGTATTTATATCAGTTCAAACATAATCAATAAACTAATCCATAAATTATATTACCACAAAAAATCTTTTACCTATATATATATTTATGATTAAGTAAAACTGATTGAATTTAAAATCTTGTAATCTTAGATTATAATAGTAATTTTTTTCATCACAATTAAATGTGCTTATAAAATAAGCTACAAACATAGCAGCAAATTATTTTAATTTTAATTTGTTTGAAACTATATTGATGGCTAAATTATTTAAAAAAAATATTTTTATAAAATTATTTGAAATTAATGGAAATTAAATAAATAAATACATTTTTTAGTTAAAAATAAGTAAACATACAAAAAGTCACCTATCTGATTGCGCCGTCACTTGATATAATTATAAACGCACTTAAATGAATTAATTATTTTAATTAAAAATATACGTACTTTCTCAAGTAATTATTAATTGATTATAGCTGATAGAATTTTATAATAAGTTAAGAAAAGATTTGAAGTAATATAATATTATTAATTCAATAATCTTGTATGAATGAAAGAAAGATCATTTTGTTTATCTTCATTTCAAAAGTCAATTATCATCTTTTATGAAAAAAATTTAATTCATAAAAAGTAATTGAGAGAAAGGTAATGGCTTTAAAAGCGTGGTATTTCTTAGAGAATACTTAAAAGATTAGATTTAAATTAAATTAAAAAAAGGAGTATTTTATTGTGATAATTATTATATAAATTTGATTATCTTTATCATTAAAGAATACATCACCAATTATAATATTTAGAATTATATGTAAATTCTATTTGTAAACTCCTTTGTTGTAAATAAGTAAATTGTTTTACAGATTTTAAATAAAATAGCAACCAAATAAAAATGATCTTAGATAAAATCTTAAAATGAATGATATATTGATATAAAGCTCTTTACATTGGAAAATATTCAATACTATTTATTATTTTAGTAGATTACAAATTTCATAATATTGCAAACAATATGAGATAAATGAATGAATAAATAAATGAACGATAGCCTTAATTTTAATTTGTGTATAACCATTAAATATTCAAAACTTTTAAAGACACAACCTTACAAAATCCAATGTTTTTCAATCAGTTTAAATTGTTTGGATATCATTTAATTTTATTAATATTATTTAATTCAAAAACCTGAAATAAAATTACACTAATTAATAATAATAAGGAAAACAATCTTTTAATTAAAGTATCTAAATATTTTGATAAGATATTACCAATTAACAACCTACGATCTAGCACTACTTCGCATTTAAATATAACATTATGAGTATCACTACTCAATAGAAGCATTCGCCTAACAATCGCCATGCTATTGGTAATAATATAAGCTTTGAAAACCTTTATTCTAACTAAAAAGTACCTAGTGATGACATTGAGTAAAATAAGTAAATACAAAATGATGATTTCAAACAAAATGAACAAATTTCACCCATTATAGATGATGAAAGTAACAAAATGTAATAATAAGTTAAGAATTCTCCTGATAATTTCTCAAAATGTGTGTTCTTTTAATTGACAATTCTAGGATTAATATCAATTTTAATAGCTATCACTAGCATTATTGTTTACTTTTACTTAGCTTAATTACCAAAAGACTATGATTATGTCCTATAAAATTGGTCTTAATCACCTATTACTTAAATAACCTCAAATGCTAACTGCAATTCCAAGCTCATAAATTATTAGTTTGATGGTACTAGTGCAGGATGTAATTGTAATTCTGCAATTGGCTAATACAAGTAATCTAGTATTTAAATTGGTAATTGCTCATCTGTATAACTTTCAAATGGGTGTGTTTAAATACAACCTATTTCATCTTAAGTGCTTTCAAAATGGAATGAGAATTCTAATTTAGAAAATCTTTGTGTATAGAGAATGACTGGATTCACTTATAGAGATTCCGATTGTACATCAAATAATTTTAAGTAATGTGGAGATTCTTCCAATGATTCTTTATATGGATTTTGTGTACCTTCTAACCAAAGCTGCCCACTTAAATCTATTAATAATAAATAAACTGATAATACTTATAACCAAATTGTATCTTCTAATTTTTACCTTTCAACTTAATCTCCTTCTAATAGGTCTTTCATGACAGGTTTATATGTATCACAAGGTCCAGCAATATGCAAATATTATCTTGATTAATTCTACTCAGACTCAAAAACTGCCTAATACAGTTTATATATTCACTCTAAGTCACAGTGTAATTCTGCTTAAATTGATAGTCGCTTCATTTTGGTGTCTTCCGCTTCTGAATAATCTTATCTTTAAGCAAATGGTCTCTATTCGCAGATAACTAGTTTACCTTCCTATCCATATGATCCTAATTTCAAATATTATTTATTTGAGTAATAATATATACCATGGAAATAAACTGGTGATTGCAAGTAGAAACATATGAATACATTTTATGATTTAAAAGACAGTTTGACTCTTTTCAACAGAATTTGGTTAGCTACTCTGGTTATTAATTTTGTAGTGATGGCAGTTTTTATTTTCATAATTTTTAAGGTTTTGAGAGATTTCGATGGTAAAAACTAAAAAAAAGACTAAGAGAATAAGTTTAAAGCTTTATTTTCTACTACTTTAATTATTTTACTCTTCGCATAGTTTATTCTAATATGTATTCTTTTTGGCACAGCTCTTTATTAATATGATAAGATAAGAGACATGGATAATTCTTAGTGTTCTGATCAACCAACAAACTTATTAATTTCAAACCTAAGAAACGATTATTACTCAGCAGATTTTGCAATTGCCATATTTATCTTCGTTCTAGCTATACTTAGATTCATTTTGTAAACCATTTTTAATTATTATAATTAAAAATCTAGTCCTAAGATTTCTAATACAAATCAAGAGTAAGAAAGTAAAAAGTTTGTTCTTTCAGAAATAGAAGGGCTTAACAAAAAATAATAATCCGAATAAATCCTCTTGGCTGCTCAACCATCTTAGATTTATGCAGAATAAAGGATGAGTAAAAAGCACAGAAGTAATTCAATATAAGGATAAATGATAATAACAAAAACTTAATTTCTAGATGGTTTGCATGATTTAAGACTGCAAAATGAAAAAGATTATCAAATAAAATAGCATAAGAAAGATAAAAAATTTATTGTAAATAGTAACTTGCTTTTACAAGGAGACACATTTTATGGAAAAACTAATTAAATTACAAGCAAACAATAAAAAACCTTAAAAGAGTAATATTCTTACAAAATAAATGACAAAAAGAAGAAGAAGAATTAAAATATTCAAAAACTTAAAATGGTGAGAAATAATCATTTGCTAAGTAACGATGAATATTTAAATTAAAGAATAAATTCTAAAAAATTTATTGCTCTTAAAGATAATAATTCTTGTGATGATATTAAAAATAGAACTTCTTTATTTAATCCTCTGGATATAGAACGCGAGGATAAATTGATCCACTTATAGAGCATTTAATAAAAACAGACTATTGATTTTGTTGACTAACAACTTGTTAATAAATCAACTCCACCTTTAATCTTAGAAACCGAAGAAGACAATACTTCTCCTTTGAGATTAGTACAATAAGATAGTTAAAAATAAAACCTACTTTCTAAGTAAGACTAAAATAACAAAAATCAAATACCTGAAAATAAATAAATTTAAAATGATAAAAATTTAAAAATTGATAACCCAGATGCTAAGTAGGTTTTATAAAATTAACAAGCCAAAGAAGGTAAAAAATAACTGCAACCTAATAATAACTAAATTGCCAAAGATGCTAATTAATAATAACCTAAAAATTCTGATGACAATAATAAACCTGATAATACAAAAATTAATAATGATGATATATTGCTTGGATTAGAAAATGATGAGACTACATCAACTATGAAAAAAAATTAGCCATCTGAATTAAATAAGAAAAATGATTAAGAGTAAAAGCAGGAATAAAATATTGGCTAATAGTAGAATCCAAATAATTCATAAAATAAATAACCATAGCTTAACAATGCTAACAATCCTAATAAAGCTGACTAATTGAATCTCGCTAATAATTAATAAGGTCCTGATAAAAAATTAGAACCTAACGAATTAAATAAAGTTAACTAACCTAACAAGTCTGATAATAAAAGTTTAAAAGAAGAGGCTGCTTTGGCAGCTACAGCAGGATTAGTAGCTGCTGCTGCAATAAAAGCTAACAATTAACCATAAAAAGGTTAATAAAATCCTGAAGGATAATAGCTAAAAGACTAAAATTAATTATTAAACCCTAATGATCCAGCCATATAATAGAAAAATTAGATTAAAGCTAATGAAAATCCTAATTTAAATAATAATAATAATAATAACTAAATTACTAATTAGTAATAGTAGCCTTAAGAATCACAATTAAATAATAATTAGAAACCCAATAACAATATCCCTAATAGTTAAGTTAATAAAGATGGCAAAAGTTAGCCTAATAATTTATAAAATTAGGGTTAATTACCTATTACGAGCAACCAAGATAACTAACTCGCTTAACCTGAAAAAAATAGTAATAATAATCCCAATCAAAAAGATATACAAAATCCAATCAATAATTAAAATGGATTAAATCAATAATTATAACCTTAAGGATAGAATGGATAATCAAAATAGACAGAAAACAATAATAATAAAAAAAATACTCCTGCAGATATTCTAGTTCCTTCTGAAATGTTAGGAGTTAATGCTACTGAGAAAGGCAAGCCAGTTCCTTAAGAATAAATAAAAGGCAAAAATTAACAGTAAAACCAAAACAATCCCATCTTACAAAAAGAGGAAATAAAAAATAATGACTAACCTAATCTAAATAAAAGCATTAGTCCATAACCAAACTAAGCACCATAAAATAAAGATCAATAAATGCCAAAAAAAATAGATTAAGATGTTTAAATTCCAAACAATTAATCTGAAAATGGAAAGATGCTTGAACCTAATAGCTAAAAAAATTAAAATTATTAGCCTGATAATAGAAACAAGGATAGTTAACCTAATTAGCAAGATATGAATAAAAATAAAAATCCAAATTTAAAAGAATCTAAAGATCCATAAGGTAACTAAAGTAATTTAGGATAATAATAGTAATAATAACCAAATGATTAAACTAAGAACAGTTAATCAAAAAATAATTAAAATAAAGATCAAGCTAATAATTTGGGCGATGTTACAGGTGGCATGGTAGCTGCTCCTTTAATATAAGAAAAAAAACCTACAGAAAAGGATAAATTAGCACCTTTATAACAGTAATAAAAATAAGATTAAATTTAAAATTTAAACAACAATAATTAAAACTAATAAAATTCAAATAAAGTTAATGAATTACCTGATCTTGGTAAAAATAGCAATTAAATTTCTAATTAACCAAAACAATAATAAAATCTACCACCAAATTAGAATTAAAATAATAGCAATCCAGATTCTTAAGGTAATAAAAAAGACCCTAACAACTAACCAAATTCTTTATAGGATTAATAGAAAATTGCTGCACCAAATGGCTAATTTAATTAGAATTAATAATCTGCTAATCCTAATTAAAATAGCTAATTAACTAAGCCAGATATAAACAGTATTTAATAATCAAATCAAAATTAAACTAAAAATCCTGAGGATAACTCAAATAAAAATAATTAGTAGTAATAATAAAATGATAAAAATTAAAGTGGTAAATAAAAATAACCAGAACAAAATAATCCTATATTAGACCCTTCGTTAGCAATTATAGGAAACAATTTATTAGAAAATAGTAAACCAATTCCTAAGGAAGAATAAACAAAAGATAAAAATTAACAATAAAATCCAATCAATGATAAAAATTAATTAAAAAATATTGGTAAAAATAATGACTATCCTAATTAGAATGATAGATAAATTCCTATATAACCATTATAGAATTTAGATAGCTAACAACCAAATATGATGGATTAAAATAGTAAAATTCCAAAATAATAAAATTAATAGTCTGCTAATCCTAATTAAAATAGTCAGTTAACTAACCCTAATATAAACAGTAATTAAAAACAAAACCCAAGTTAAATTAAAAGTCCTGAAGATAACTAAAATAGTATTAGTTAGTAGTAATAGCAAGATGTTAAAAACTAAAGTGGTAAATAAAAATAACCAGAATTAAATGGTGATAGATAAGATCCTTCTTAAACAATTTTAGGAAATAGTTTATAAGAGAAAGATAAACCAATATCTAAAGGAGGATAGCCAAAAGATAAAAATCAATAGCTAGACCCAAATAAATCTCAAAATTAATAAAAAAGTAATTAAAATTAGTAACCTGTTAATGGTGATTAGAATAGCTTGTTAACAAATCCCGATATGGGTAATAAATAAAATCCAAACTAAAATTAAGAAAAAAATCTGAAGGATAACAAAGATAATCTTAAATAGTAATAGTAAGATGGTAATTAGAGTTAAAAAAATTAATTAAAATAGCCAGAAAATGATAATGCTAAATAAAATGCTTCATCAGCCATTTAAGGAAATAACCCATCTGAAAAAATTAAACCAATATCTATAGAGTAATAGCCAAAAGACAAAAATCAATAATAAAACCCTAGCAATCTCTAAAATTAAAATAATAATTATCCTGACTTGAATAGCAAAAATTAAAATCCTAGCACCAAACCTGAATAAAATTAAGAATAATAAATACCAAACAATAAAATTCCAAATTCTTAAATGGGTTAATAGAATTAATAAGCATCAAATGTCTAAAATAATTAGAATTAATAACCTGCTAATATTGATTCGAATAAGCTTTCAAAAAAACCAGATGTAAAAAGTAATTAAAATCCTAACCAAAATTAAAAATAGAATATAAAGGATAATTCAGATAACATAAATCAATAGTAGCAACCAAGCAACTAAATTTAAAATAATTTATCTTAAGTACCTCTGAATAATAATAATAATAATAATAAAGATTCTGCTTTAGCAGCAGGTTTAGGTAAATAAACTTCAAATAATGATTAATAAATCCCATAAGAACAAAATTAAAAAACTAATCCTAAAAATTCATTAGGCAACTAAAGTAAATAAAATGAATTACTAAACAAAAATGGTAATAATCTAAACTTTAGTCCTGAGAAAAACTCATAAAAGTAAAATCAAGGTTAAAATAATGGTATACTATCTAAAGATTAAAATAATTAGCCATAGTTACCTAATGTAAGTGAAAAAATCAATTAATAAGGTAAATTAAATAACAATAATAATCCTAGCATTACGCAAAAATAAACTCCTGACCTTATTTAAAATGACACTAAATAAGATCAAAAGCCTAATGATTTAAATAATCAGTCAAAAAATGACCCTAAAAAGCAAAATTTACCTCTACAAGGATAAGATAAAATAATAGATGGTTAAGCATCTCAAAATAATCAACCAAATCTAAAAGATTAAAAAGGATTAAATAATAAACAACCAATATCAGCAAACTTAAAAGAAAATAGTGGCGCTCCTTTTATTAATAATAATTTATCAGATTCAAAAGGTAATATTCAATAGACTAATAAAAATAGCTATCCAAAGCTAACTGATGATGATACTAATAAAAAAGATTTAAAAAAATAAAATAATGATTTAAACAAAACAGGATAACCACCTAATGAATTAAAAAATACTAATTAATCTTAATTACCATAAAAAAATCATTTAATGGAAGAAGCAGCTTTATTAGCAGCAGGTATTAAAGCTGCTGAATTAGCACAAGCAAATAAACCAAAAGATGACCTTAAATAGAATCCAAAAGAATAATTAAAAGATAGCAATTAGGTCATTAATTCTCCTAACAACTCAAACAATGAAAATTTGTTAAATGGTTAAGGAGGAAATAATAATCCAAATAAAAATGCCTAAAATAAAGTAGCTCCTAATAATGGAATTAATGAATCTTTAAATAATAATTCAAATTCTAAATAGTAAGGAAATTAAAATAATAAAGCTCAAGATGGTAATAACACAAATCCTGATAAATCAAATACGCCAAATGAGTAAAATATAAGTAGCCAAAAACAAAAGCCAGAAAATAATAGTTTTGTTAATAATAATACATTAGGGGCAGAAGTAAATATGCCAAATAAAGGAGGGAATAAATAATCAGATAAAGAAAAGTAGAAACTATTAGAGCAATAAAATAAAGATAAAAATTCTTAATTAAATCCAAACAATTCTTAAAATATGTAAACAGATAATAAGTAACCAAATTAATTACCTAATAACATAAACAAAAACCAAAGTTAAATTCCAAATTAACCTCCTTAAAATAAATAATAACCAGGTTAAAAAGAAAATAAAAATGATATTTTACCAAATAGTTAATTTGATGATCAAAATGCAAATAAACCAATCAACAATCAAAACTTATCTCAACAAACGAATAAACCAAATAATTAAGTTTCAAAGCCAGAAATTAATTTCAATGACAATAAGCCAAATAACTAAAATGAAAAAGATTCAATTAAAAATTCAAATAAAAACCAAGATAATTAAAAAAATTAGTTTTAAGAACCTTCACAATAAATGAAAAATGATCCTTTATAAAAAAATCCAGAAAATGACAATTTATTAAAAAGTGCTGCGTTATTAGCAGGAGCAGGAGTTGCTTCCTAATTAGCAAATAAAGATAATTAAATTAATAATAATAAAGAAATACCCATAGATAATAAAAACAACTCAGAAAAAGGTCTTAGTAGTTAAGGTTAAAGCAAGGCAAAGGTCCCTGAATAGAATTAAAGTAAACAAGAGACTTCACCATAAAATTTAGGTAAAAATGGGCCTTTAAAATAAAATTAGCCTACAGAAAGCACATATTCAAATTAAAATAAACAATTACCATAACAGAATAACAACGATCCTGATTTGTAAAATCAAAACTCCTCTACTTTACCAAATAATAGTAAAGGTAAAGAGACACAACCTTAAAATTAAGACTCTTTAAAAAGCTAAAATAATCAGCCTTTAGATAATATGTAAAATTCTATCTCAAATCCTCAACAAAATAAAATACCTCCTAAGGAAAGTATCTAAAAAAATCCTTAAAGCTCAAATTAATAATTTAGTGCACCTTAAAATTAAAACCATTAACCTTCAAACAATCAATCAAACTAAGGGTAGATAGAAGCACCACAAAGATAATTAATATAAAATAGCTAACAAAATAAAGATAACCCTCAAGCAAACAGCCTATAGGGTTAAACAAATAAGTAAAAACCTGAGTTAGATAGCCTTGGTGAAAACATCTTAAATAAAAATGATAATGGTAAACAAGGTAAGGAAAATTAAAATACCTAATATCCATAAAATAGTTAATAATAAAATTTAAATGACATTTTTAAAAATCCTGAAAATAATAATTAAGCTCAACAATAAGCTTAAAAATAAATAGATCCAGCTAAATTAGATAAAAATGGCAATAGTTAATAATAAAAATAACCTTTTGATAATATAAGTAAAGATAATACTAACCAAATGATTAATCCTATTACAGGTAATACCGATGGAAAAGAAAGATAAAATAATATAATTCCAAATAAAGATTTAAAAGCAAATTAAAAAAATTTGCCATAATAGTAATAAAACTAAGGTTATGAGAAAATGAATAACTAAAATTAAGATCCAAATAATTAGAATGCTCATATCAATTCTCCCTAAAATTTTAATAATAATTAACAATAGTAACAACCTATAAGTAACAATAATTAAATGGATATAGAATAATAAAAAAATAATCCAATAAACAATTAAAAGCAAATCAAGGACAAAGGATTTAATGATTTCTAAGTACCAGGAGTAGATGCTATAGGTAAATCCCCAGCTGATAATAATAACAAATAACAAGAAAATTTAAATTAAGATAATTAACCATATTAATAGAGTGGTCTATTACCTAATAGGAATACTGGATAGAATGGTTATTTAAATGAAAGTAATCCATAAAAATAACTATAGCCAAGCTTAAATAATTAAGCTAGTTAAAATATACAACCTAATTAATAAAAAGGTAATTAATTAGGTTAAAAAAATCAAGATATTAACCCTGGAAATACTAAAGATCTTATAAATGAATAGCCACAAAAATAGGATAAAAATGGTAACAATAATAATGCTTAGCCTAAGTCATAAAGTAATAATCAAATACCATAGCAATTAAATTAAAATGACAATATTCTTTCTAAAAATTTACCAAATAATTAATAGCAAAAATTAGATGACATTCCAAAAAGAGGATTACCTCTTATTGATAGTAATTAAACATAAAATAATTAAAGGTAATAAGCCTTAGGCGGTTAAAATACTTTGGATGATTAAAGAAACAAATAATTTGATCCTTTGGATACTATAAATAATTAATAAAATGGTACAAAAAATGCATAACCTTATTAAAACAATAATAAGAATTTTGACCCGAAAAATAATTATTAAAATGGAATGCCTTAAAATACAAACAATAATTAAAAGTAATAACCAGTAAATTAATTTTAAGATATTGAGAATTAGTTAAATTAAAAGTAACCACAGTCTTAACAATAAAATTAAATACCTGCAGAAAGTAAAGATAAGAATATGAATTAAAATAATCTTTAAGACTAATTTGATAATTAGAGTAATAACCCAAATCTTAATAACATAGGTAATAGCAGTAGTAAAAATTAATCTTAAAAAAATGAAAAACCTGATATTGAAAACCAAAAAGATCCGGACAGATTATATGATCCTAAGAATGTAAATGATTAACAGTAATCAAACAATTCGATACCTTAAAATAAGAATCCAAATACATATTAAAATAACTCCTTAAACTAAGGTCCAGAATTACCCATTAACAAAAATAGTTTAGGTAATAACGATTAAGATGATCAAAATAAAGGTTAAAACAATAAAACAAATGATCAGCCGAATGCAATTAGTAATTTACAAAAAGATAAAGATGAAGAACAGTAAAGAAATATACTTCCTAATCCAAAAAATAAAAGACTTTCATTTGTACCTAAATCTATTGACTACCATCAGTTTAGTAAATTAAATCCTAACGAAGAAGTTAGTGATAACAATTCTTATGTTAGCAATAACTTGAATAATTCTTTAAAAGGATAAAATACTGACAATTTTAATAATCTAAGTAATTTAAATAGAAACAATAACTCTTAGTTGTATAATAATAACTAAAATAATTATCAAAATATGGATTAAAATAATAAAAATCAATAATAATAATAATAAAGAAATAATAACTTAGATAAAAATTATGGCAATCAATATGATAATGATGAATACAATACAGACCCATTTAATTCAAAAAATCTTAATTAAAGAAGAAATGAAGATTATTAGAGTAATAACCAAAGTAGAAATTTTAATGATAGACCTTCATTAACAAATGATTATTACCCAAATGATAAAAATTTAAGTAAATTTTAAAATTAATAAAAATAAAATAATTAATTTTAATAACCTTAAATTAATGATTATGATTTTAGTAATCCAAAAATAAATAAGTAACCTAGTATATATTAGAATGATGAATAAGAGTAGACTTAAGATAATAACCCTCAATATAGGAGTAAAAGATACAGATAAGGATCCAGATTATTTTAAGCTCTACCAATCTTAAATTAAAATAAAGCATAATCGATAAATGATTTTGATAGCATTCCATCAAAGAATTAATATGATGATTAGAAAGAAAGATCTTTAAGCTAATTGCCATCATATTAACAAAATCAGAGAAACAGCAGATTTAATATTGATAATGATGATTATAATAAATATAGACCAAGTAATAGTATCTTGTAAAGCTAAAACAGTGTCAATTATAACAACAGTAGCAATCTACCATAGAATAATTTGAGACTTTCATAGATAAGAAGTTAACCTTCTATAAAATATGATGATAATGATAGAAACTCACTAGGAAGACTTAACAGTCTAAGAGATTCTTTGAATGACATGACTTAAAAAACAAGAAACAACAGCGAAAATAAATATAATGGTTATATTTAGGATTAAGATAATTATTAATATAACAGAAATAATTAAAAAAAGACTTATCTATAGAATGATTATAATAATGTACCTTCTATTCAAGAAGTAGATGAAGATTTGAACCAGTTTTTAACTCGATAGAGTATTAGAAGAAGGACAAGACAGGCAACAAATAGAATTGCTAGTATTAATAATATTGAAGATAATTATTAAGATAGTGATAATACTAGTATAGGCAGAAGAGATTAGAGATAATAAAGTAGGCTTCTAAGTAATAATAATGGGGGATCTAAAGTAAACTATATTTCACTTCCTTCATTGACATAAACTAATGGTCTCTAATTAAGAAGTAATCTATATTAATAAAATAGCAGAATTTAGAATTGATATTTACTCTTTACGTTAAGTTAATGCTTTTCCTCTTAAAATAATTATAATAATAAAAGATTAAACTCATATTTATAATATTCATTTATACTAAAATATATATAATACTGTATACCAAATTCAAATATATATTCTCATATTTTTGTTGACTTTTCAATTTTATAAAGTTTCAAAAGTTAAAAATATAGTTTTCTAAAATGTAAAAGAATTTTAAAAAAATTTAATTATTTGAATAAATATTCTTTAATACATACTTCTTATTCCAATAAAATTTATTAAAATTATTATTTTAAAATATGCTAGCAATCAATATCTCAATATCTGTTTGAAAATATTAGTATTTTCTTTTTCCTTTCTAATTTTTTAAAATTAAATTTTATATTTCTTATTAAGCAAATCAAAGTGGCAAATAGAAATTTTTTTTTAATTAGTTATTGATTGATTACAAATGTTATAAATTTTTAATTCCTTGATAGCAAACTTAATTTTATAAACCTTAATTTTTAAATTATTTAAAAAAGGTATTTAAATTTATAAAAGAATAAAATTCAATACTTACTTTATCTATATCAAAAGCAATATTTTTAATTTTAAAATAGAATAATGATAAGAATGTAAATTTGTAAATTTTATTAATAAACAAAATATATTAAAATTTTTGATTCAGAATTTTAGAACTCTCACACTAAAAAATAAGAGAATTATAAATATAATTTTATATAAGTATTTATTCATGCATATTTATTTTTATATAAATTTATGACGAAATAATCAAATAACATCAACTTATTATTTAGATAAAACATAGTTTATTTAATCTTTTATAAGGTGATATCCAGCTTCTGGTTAATCCTCAGTGACCATGTGACCTGCGTTTAAGACAAGAGAAAAGCTCAAAAGGTCATACTATTATTTATATCCATAAATAGTACCAGTGTTTCCTTATCTCCAAACTCTGAGAGGAGCTTCAATAAAACTATTGATTTTAGACCAATTTAACTTTGGAAGCCATAATTAAGGAGTGTAATAGGGTACGATTAAGTCTAAGTCTCCATTATAGACATGGACATACATTCCTTCTTGCAATAAATATTCGACTTTGGCTACACAATCTTCTTACATAAAATCAGTTGTAAACACTTCATAAACTTAAGAATCACAAATTTCAAAAGTCTTGTCTAACTTAAAGTTAAATATTTCCTAACCATATTTAGAATTTACAAAATTCTCTAAGTAAGATTTATCTTGCTCTTTTCTTCCAATATTATAAATATCAAGGTTATTAGGATTAGCGTCATCAAGGAGTTTGGAATATAAGTCAAAAGCTTTCTTCCATTTCTTTTCTTTAATGAATTTTTAAATAGACTCTACCTTCACTTAATTTTTATTAAATTAATCTAAAGTAATTAAGTTATGGTCATAAGAGTATTAGTTAACACTTTGAGTGTCATAATAAGGTGAAGTAAATCCATCACCCATTCCTACTCCTTTTAGATTAAATTTATTTCCTTATTGAACTATGTACTAAGCAATAGAAGGTACATATTTTCCAGCATAAGAAATACCATAGATAAACAAAGGTGTATCTTTTGGGTTAATTCCGACTTGTTTAAAGCATCCGTTTTCTGAGTTATAAAGCTGATTAAGAGCAAAGTAGAATTACTAGGCTACTTAATTCTCATCAACGGGAATATCAGATTTTTTCTAGGCATGTGAAATTCCTGTTCCGATAGGTTGGTCAATGTAAATAACATTGTAGTCATTTGTCCAAGTAAAAGAATTTACTTAGAAGGTGAAATTTTTCTTGCTCTATTAAATAATATAAAGAGGACCATTCTCGATAAAAGCACCATACATAGATGTACATCCTGGACCTCCTTCTATCCAAATAATAGTTGGAATATTTTTCAATTGAGAAGCAGGAACTCCCTTAGCTCCAAAAAATAAAAAACCTAAAGCTGAAGTGGAATTCTTAATTCCAACATTCAAGTATCCAGACATAGCAGTTCCATTATAGTAGTTAGCTAGATCGACATTATTACACTGAGTAGAGAAATCTAAACCTTTTTGAGCATGCAAAAGGTTGTCAATGTATTTTTCTTTTATACTACTCTTTCTGAATTAAGATTATGTCAAGAATGCACAAGATAGACCAAGCAAGCAAAAGATTATCAAACAAAATTATTTAGATATCATTCTTTTAATTATTTTTTATTTTTTCTAATTATTTTGAGTTAAATTTGATTATTCTAAGTCAGTATTTAAAGCTAAAAATTATTAAAACTAGTTTTCAGATATGTATTATAATCAGATTATAAAATCTTTTCAGAGAATTCTTTTATTAACCAAAAGTAGTAAAAATCATTAAATGAAAAATTTTTAAATATGCTTAGTTTAAAACTTATTTTTTCATCTAATAAGGATGATGAATTTTAAACTAAGCATTCATTTAAGACTATACTGTACATAAAGCTCTGTTCTAATATAAATTAATTCTCATTTTTATTTCATTCACAGTTTTTAATATGTTTAGGATTTTTTTCTATTATTATTTAAACTACCTAAAAATTACTTTTACCATAACTTTCTATTTGCTTTATTCAAAATTTGTAAAAAATAAGAAAATACTTAGAATTTTGATTTACTTAATCTAATGGTACTACAAAAATAAGTTAACAAATTTACATAAAAATGTAAATATTTAATTAAATAGTTGTACAAATTTTTTGATGGTTAAAAATAAATTAATATCCACCAAAAACATTGAAATTAGTAAATCTTAGTTCGAACTATTAAATCATAATAAATAATCCTATTTATTAGATTTTCACTTTTATTTATTTTTATTAACTTAAAAGTATCTTTGTTTATATTTTAGAGTTTATTTTTTTAATTTTTAAAATTTATTATAAAACATTTAAATAAAAAATTTAAGAAAAAATAAATGAATGAAATTGCAAGCTAAATCACTCACTCACTATTATTATTTTTTCTTTAATTCTTCTTTTTTGATAAAACTAAAAAGATAGTAAATTAAATATATTTTTTCAAGTATAATTAGTGTTTTTTTATTAAATATAATTAAGCATTTTTTTGTGTCTAAAAATAATGAGAAATTGAGATAGATGAATGTTATTTTTTATTTTTTTCCTTATGTAAAAACTAATCCTTATTAAAAAAATTGAAAAATATTATTTTTAAAATAGTAAAACAAATACAAAAATTTATACTACCCATAATCAAACAGTAATATTAGTTTCATAGATGAAGATACCATAATATATCGCTTATCCTGCCTAACCTATTAGCTGAATTTTACTCATATTTTGAAAAAAATATGCAAAAAAAAATAACCAAATGTAAAGACTTTATTTGGTTAAGTATTGATTAAGTACAATAATATCAAATTTAAAAATATAATTATTTACTTATTATTTTAAATAAATTCATATTAAATACCTAAGTTAAGCTATTGATATTACTTAATGAGTTTAATTTTATGCAAGTAAATTTATTTTATTAATTATAAAAAAGCACATGATAGTTGTTATTTATTGCTACATAAATATTATTACGACATTTTTTTGTAATAAATTAATTATTTCTGTAGTAAAATTTCATAATAAATAGAAATAGTACTAGTTAACAAAGTATCCTAATAAAAAAATTCAATAATGAAATTATCAAGATGAGTATAATTTCATGTCAAATGTAAGTTTTTTTATAAATAATTAATTACTCTACTACATTTTTAAAAATGATTTATTGTTTCATAATTTTTGTTATGCTAATTTTTAAATATGCCATTCAATTAATAAATCAAAAAAATAATAAATATTTTAAACAAAAATAATAACTATTTCTTATAATAGCTGATTTTATTGTAATATAAAAAAGAATAAGTTAAATTTATTTTAAATTTAAATTAAACATTTAACAATTATTTCAAATTTGTTTAAAAGTATTTCTATTAAAATCAAAATATTTACTGAATTTAAACAAGCTAATTGCATTGAGACTCTATCTAAGTTTATTAAGTTTATATTTTAGACTGATATTCTATAACATTTTTGATAAGCTAATTTTTACCTAATTTATCCATGCCTATGCAACTTAATGAATTTTTGGTATTAAGTTCAGAAATGTAAATTTTGATAATAAGGAAAGTAATTATTAGCCTTTCTAATTTAGAAGTAAAAATAAGAATGAAAATAAATTAAGATAGAAGTGAGGCTTTAAACAAAGAGTTTTAAAAGCAAGTTTTATTTAACTAAAATATTAAAAAAATTCTTCTAGTGCTAAGTATGAGAGAATAGATAAAGCATTAAATTGATAATCAAAAACAAAATGCTACTCATTAGATTAAGTTTCTCTTATAAACCAATGCACATACTATTCTTAATAGTTTAAAATAATCTTATGTAGCTGAAATAGAGACTCTCTATCTAACTTTAAGTTTGATTTATCTTGTAAACTGAGGTCTAAAGCTGTATCTAATAACTAAAAAGCGCTTTATGAAAGAGTATATAAAAAATACTGCTGTTAAACTTTAGAGATTAGTCTAACCATAATTTAAGTATGACGCTGGATATTCAGTTTGCAACGTAAGCTAAAGATAAGGAAATGTGTTACTACAATAAGGATATGACCTTTTTTATGATTTTCCTGAATATTTGAGTAGGTTTTGAGAATAAATAACTTTTACTTGTATTATTTATATAAAAAACAAGCACAGTTTTATGCTATATCAAAAAAGTTTAAAATATGAAGCATTTAATTACCATAATTATTCTAAAATAAGCTGCATAACTTTCTGAAAAAATATTTTTTTTTTAATGCTCAAAAAATAGTCATCTCAAATCACTAAATTATTGAATGGCATTTGGTTATATTATATTTTACTCGATATATAACTAAGTTTGTTTTGGTTTTTTATTTATAAAAATGAATGAATAAATAAAATGTTGATTTTCAATATTCAGATAAAATTTATTAAAATTATTATTTTAAAGCATGCAAACAATCAATATCATTTTGATAATATTAGTATTTTCTTTTTCCTTACTAATTTTTTAAAAACTAAATTTTATATTATTTAATAAGTAAATCAAAGTGAAAAATAGAAATATACTTCTCTTTTTAAATAAATCTAATTTAATTAGATTTTTTTGTTGTTGAATGTTATAATTTTTAATTCCTTTATAAATAATTAATTTTATATCACTTTAATTTTAAATTATTTAAAAAATATACTTAACTTAATAAAAGAATAAAACTTAATGCTTACTTAAGATATATCAAAAGCAATAGTTTTCATTTTAAATATAGCAATATTAATATTTTAAGCTTAAGAGAAATTATTAATTCTTTTATAGCTAATTTTCATTCTATAAAGGATATATTTTGATAATAAATGAATCTAGTAAAATATAAATCTAGCTTGTAAATTTAAATTAAGTAAGAAAATACATTAAAATTGTTGATTAAGAATTTTACAATAATAAATACAAGAATTATAAATGAAATTTTACTTATTTAATATGAGTATTTATTTAAGTATTCATATTTATATTTATATAAATAAATGACGAAAAATAAATTAACATCAAAATTATTATTTAGATAAAACATAGTTTATTTGATCTTTTATAAGGTGATAACCAGCTTCTGGTTAATCTTCAGTGACCATATGACCAGCGTTTAAGATAAGAGAAAAGCTCAAAAGGTCATATTATTATTTATATCCATAAATAGTGCCAGTGTTTCCTTATCTCCAAACTCTGAGAGGAGCTTCAATAAAATGACGAATTTTAGACCAGCTTAATTTTGGAAGCCACAATTGAGGAGTGTAATAGGGTACAATTAAATCTAAGTCTCCATTATAGACATGGACATATATTCCTTTTTGCAATAAATATTCAACTCTGGCTACACAATCTTCTTTGATAAAATCGGTTGATAAAACTTCATAGACTACAGGATCACATTATACGAAAGTCTTGTCTAACTTAAAGCTAAATAGTTCCTAACCATATTAAGAGTTAATTAAATTATCTAAGTAAGAACTATCTGGGAATTCTTTTCTTCCAATATTATAAACATCAATATTACTAGGATTAACATCACTAAGGAGTTCAAGGAATAAGTCAGTAGCATTCTTCCATTTCTTTTCTTTAATGAATTTTTAAATAGACTATACCTTCACTTAATTTTTATTAAATTAATCTAAAGTAATTAAGTTATGGTCATAAGAATATTTGTTAAGACTTTGAGTGTCATAATAAGGGGAAGTAAAGCCATCCCCCATTCCTATTCCTTTTAGATTAAATTTATTTCCTTTTTAAACTATGTGCTAAGCAATAGAAGGTACATATTTTCCAGCATAAGAAATACCATAGATAAACAAAGGTGTATCTATTGGGTTTATTCCAACTTGTTTAAAGCATCCGTTTTCAGAATTATAAAGTTGATTAAGAGCAAAGTAGAACTACTAAGCTACTTAATCCTCATCAACGGGAATGTCAGATTTGTTCTAGGCATGTGAAATTCCTGTTCCAATAGGTTGGTCAATGTAAATAACATTGTAATCATTTGTCCAAGCAAAAGAATTTTCTTTGAAGGTGAAAGTTGTGTTACTCTATTAAATTATATAAAGAGGACCATTTTCTATAAAAGCACCATACATAGAAGTACATCCTGGACCTCCTTCTATCCAAATAATAGTTGGAATATTTTTCAATTGAGAAGCAGGAACTCCCTTAGCTCCAAAAAATACAAATCCTAGAGCTGAAGTGGAATTCTTAATTCCAACATTCAAGTATCCAGACATAGCAGTTCCGTTATAGTAGTTAGCTAGATCAACATTATTACACTGAGTAGAGAAATCTAACCCTTGTTGAGCATGTAAAAGGTTTTCAATGTATTTTTCTTTTAAGCTTCTCTTTTTGTATTAAGGCTCAGTCAAAAATGCGCAAGATAGACCAAGCAAGCAAAAGATTATCAAACAAAATTATTTAGATATCATTCTTTTAATTATTTTTACTTTTTTTAATTATTTTGAATTAAATTTGATTATCCTTAAGTCAGTATTTAAAGCTAAAAATTATTAAAATTAGTTTTCAGCTATTGCTTATATTCAAATTACAAAATCTTTTCGGATAATTCTTTTATTAACTAACCATAAATAGTAAAAAACCATTTAATAAAAAATTTTAAATGATACTTTGTTTGAAACTATTCATTTAATCAGGATGATGAGTAATAAAATTAAACTTCCTTTTAAAACTGTACTTTACATAAAGCTCTAATCTAAATTTATTGATATTTTTACTTCATTAACCATTTTTTAGAGTTTTAGGGAGTTTTTACTTTAAATGCTCAATTATTATTTAAATGATCAAAAAAAAAATTACTTTTGCTATAATTATCTATTTGTTTTGCTCAGAATTAGTAAAAAATATGAAAATACTTAGAATTTTGATTTACTAAATCTAATGGTACTACAAAAATAAACAAATAAATTTGCATTAAAATATAAATATTTAATTAAATATTTATAAATATTTTTTAATGGTTAATAAATTAAAATCCATCAAAATCAAATAGAAATTAGTAAATCTATCTTCTAGCTATTAAATCACTAGAAAAAACCCTATTTATTACATTTTCATTTTTACTTCTTTTTATTAATTTAAAACATCGTGTTTATATATACTATCTGAGTTTATTTTTTTAATCATAATATAAATATATATTATATTTTTTATTTATGAACTTATTATTTCATTTGATTACTTATATACTTTATTTTTAAATATTTTTTCTTTACTTAAAATATTTAAATTTATCCTAATCCCAGCATGTTAAAATATTGATATTTTTACTTAGTGATTTATTTTATTTATTACTAATCGTAGATATTATGATAATTATTTATTTTTACATAAATATTTTTGGAATAAAATATCATAATAAATAGAAATAGCACTGAAATATCCTATTAAAGTTATTCTTTGAGTAGAATTTTATATAATAATTAGCAGAGTTATCCTAATAAAGAAACTCAATAATAAGATTGTTATGATTCGTATAATCTCATATGAAATGCGATTATTTTTAAAATAATAACTCTATATAATCTTTTTAAAAATGAATGATTTTTTGTTTCATTATATTTTTTGTGCCAAATTTAAAATATGACTGACACTAAATCAATAAATTTTTAATGAATTTGTTGGATATAAATAATTTTTTTTGTTAATTTTAAACATAATAACTACCATTTCTTATAATAGCTAATTTTATTACAACATAAAAAGTGGAATGTATTGGTTAAGTTATTCTTAATTTTATACTTTAAATAAATTTAAATTATTTTAGATTTAACTTAAATATTTAGCAATAATTTAAAATTTGTTTAAATGCATATCTATTAATATTAAAATATTTACTCAATTTAAACACAGTATTCAGACTCTATATAAATTTATTAACTTTATATTTTAGAGTGATATTCTATTACCTTTATGATTAGCTAATTTATTTCTTTTTAAGAGCCCAATATAAAATAGACCATTTGTGTCTCCATTAAAATATTAATCTTTATCAATAATAAAATACATGTGTAATTTTTAATAATCAAAATCATTAAATCTATCAAAAAATATATTGTATTTCTGATAAAAAAATAATATAGAAAATTAACTAAACAAAAAACAAACAAACAAACAAACAAACACAAATGGGATACGAATTAAGATTCTTTAACAATATTGATTTAGAAAAATAAAATGTAAAATCTTTTAAAGAATACTCTAAGAATTTGTTCACTTCTTTAGGGGCAAGTAAAAAATAAATTGAAAAACGTATAGATCTTTACCTAATATATCCATGCCTTGGCAATTTAATGAATTTTTATGGTATAAAATTCAGAAATGTTAATTTAGATAAGAAGAAAAGCATTAGCCTTTCTACTTTAGAAGTAAAAATAAGAATGATAAAAAATTAAGATAGCAGTGAGGTTTGGAAGAAAAAGTTTTAAGAGCAAGGCTCATTTATCTAAAATATAAACAAATTTCCTCTTGTGCTTAGTGAGAAAGAATAGCAATAGCCTTAAATTGATAATCAAAAAACTAAATGCTACTATTTAGATTAAGCTTCTCTTAAAGCAATACACAATACAGTTCTAAATAGTTTAAAATAATCTAATGAAGCTGAAGTAAAGACTCTCTATCAAAATTTAAGTTAATTTTCTTTAGAAAATTCAGGTCTAAAGCTTCATCTAGTAACAAAAAAGCGCTTTATGAAAGGAATGTATGTAGAAAATACTTCTGTTAAACTTTAGAGATTAGACTAACCATAATTTAAGTATGATGTTGGATATTCAGTTTGCATCGAAAGCTAAGTATAAGGAAATGTGTTTCCTAAATAAGGGTATGACCTTTGTTGTGGTTTCCCTGAATATCTGAGTAGGTTTTGAGGGTAAATAACTTTCTCTTGTATGATTGATTTATGTAGAAAATAAACATATTTTTATATGATATTAAAAAAAATACAAAGGAAGCATTTAATTATTAAGAAAAATTACTAATTAATAATTCATATTAATTTAAAATAATTATCATTTTATATTTTATTTTAAATTCTATTTTTTTTTTATATTTATTTTTTAATCATGTATAAGAAATATATATTTATTATTGAAAATTTTTTATAAGAATACATTAATAATATTGAAAAGTAGAAGCTTTATGTAATGTAAATTCCCTATTTAAAAATCCTTAGTTATATTTTTAATTTTAATTTATTTTCTTAAAATTATAATAATTTAACTTAAAATATTTAAATTTTTAAAATAGTTATTCAATGATCAAGTTAATTGGTAATTAAATCAAAATCATCATGAATTTCAATTATAAATAAGCTTAATAAATTACTTTAATTAGAAAAAAAATAAAAATCATAAATCAAAAGAAAACATTTTTTTATTTATATTTATATATATTTTGTTCACCAAAAAAAACAACGTTTTATTTTATTTAATTTATTTTCTGCATTTTTTTATTTTCTTTAGATACTCTTGTCTTATGGATATTTATCAAGGTATAAGCCATAAGTTTTAATGGCTTCTGCATAGTCTTGATTTTCTTCATAAACAACTCCTAGATCAATTAGATAACTATATTCATTTTTATCAAGTTCAATGCATAGTTTATATAATTCAATAGCCTTATGAAATTATTTATCTTTTTTATAACAGATAGCTAATTGTTCGTAGACAGGATGCAGAGTATTTTTGTCTTGTAATCGATATCTACAATTTTCAAATTCTGAAATTGCTTCAAAAATAACTTTATTAAGCATTAGTGCCATTCCTAAATTATAATAATATTTTGGGTCTTAATACCTTTAGATGGCTTCTCTATAATTTTATATGGCTTTTTCGTACTAACGTTTTTCATAACAAGCATTACCCATGTTGTAGTAGCATTCATGTTTTTCGCTATCTGCTGCGATATCTTTTATGTGCAAACTAAACTCTTTTATTGCTTTATCCCATTCTCCTTTTTCACTATGAGCAAGACCAATATTATAATGGCAATGATACTTTTTCTCTTTGTCTAACTCTTAACAAGTTGTAAATGATTTAATTCCTTTTTATAGATCTCCATTTTCAACGTAAGCTATACCTAATTTGTAGTGATAGATAGCTTTCTTAGAATCGATTTTTATAGCGCTTAAATATGAATTTATGGCTTCATCTAATAATTTTTAATTTTTCTAAGCAATAGCTAAGTTGTAATAGTAATTATCGATTTTATCATTTTTTCCTTTTTATTTGCTTAATTTAATACACTTTTCAAATGATTAAATAGCCTCTTCATACAATTTAAGGTCATCTTAAATAAAACCTTACTGATAAATATATTTTTCATCATCTGGTAAAATTTAAGTACAAATAGTAATGTATCTATAGGCCAGTTGTTTGTTATTTGTTTTATAGTATTCAAATCTTTAATAGACTTAATCAGCAAATTAATCCTTTATTTGCTCATATTATTTTAATAGATTTTCAAATTCAGCTTAAATATCTTTAGTGCTTAATCTTTGTTGCCAATTTAAACAAAGTATTTTTGAGAGAATGCTATTTAAATTATCATCTAAGGCATATAATTTTTTATAACCTGAGTTCCTTATTTGATAGCAATCTGCTTCAGATCCTCCAGCTAACAGATAAAAGTAGATACCAAAAGTCCATGAATCAGCTTTTAAGCTTTCTAAACAATCTTTGCTGGTGTCACTTCTTCCACACTCTGGAGGATAATAAAAATTCTACTCCTCTGGTTTATGACTAATTTCATTTATAAAATCTTCAACTGATTAGAAATCACACAATTTGATTTGATTAAGATTATCAACTAGAATACTTTCAATCTATCTGTTTTTTAGCGTATATTTTTTGCTATTAGTTTACTTATTATTTTAATTGCTGATTTAATTAAGAGCTGAGATGATTCTATGAGCGAAACTAATTAGTTAATAATTTTTAAATCCTGGCTCTAGTTAACAGTTAGGATTATCCATAAATTACTTCAAATTATATGGACAATTTTCCATGATTATATAGTAATTAGGATACATTAGAAACTCATCGTAGTATTAAATAATTGTTTTTAGATTACTTTTAGGATCATAGCAGTCTTTCAAAGATTATCCTTCTTTTTTAGCTAAGTTTAACATTTATTATGAAATAATCTTCTCTCTCTCCTTTTTTTCTTCTGCAATATAAAATCTTTTGACAGTATATAAACTATTTTCTTCAGTGTCTAATACTACCAAAGTCCAAACAGAGTCATACTATACTTTTTGTTAACCTTGAATTAACATATCTTTTGTATTTTCTAATTGTTAAGATACCATTTTGAATTATTCTTCAAATTATTTTTTTATTACCTAATCTATTTCTTAAAAATCTTGTTGTTAATCTTTTTGCTCAAATGGCAGCTTAGTTTCTAAAATCTATTATCTAAAAGACGAACTTGTTTCACTCATTTTTACTAAAAAATATTTGAGAAATACTTACTCTATTTATTTGATTTATCAAAATAAAATGATATATGTGTTTTTTTGTAAATTGTTAATAAAATAGACTCTCTTTTGTTGTTTAATTTGATTATTTGTTATTATTAATTTTCTTCTTAAATATCTTTTTTACCAATCATTTGCAAAAATGTATAATAATACTTTGTTTATTTCGAAATACTAAATGCAAATCACATTTTTTTGTATATAAAATTGTTTTAAATATACCCATACAAATTCATAATAAGTAGCTGTTTCTATTGGTTATACTTTGAAGTCTGAATTAAAATAAAATTTGAGATAACAAATCATTTAAAATTAAATAAAATATTAATTTATTTTTTTTAACCAATTTTTAAAATTTATTTTAAATTAATTAAAAATAGAATGAAGAAAAAAAATTATTTTTTAATTATTTATAAACAAACACTTTAATAAATTTAAAAAAAGATGTATTTGAGTAATTATAATTTTAATAAATAATTGAATACAATTTAAGTAAGGATATTAATTATCCCAATAGTAAATTTATAAGTTAAATAAGTGATTGATATTAATATTAAATTAAATTACATAATAATTTTTTCTAATTTATTTTCAGTAGCTTTAGATTATAGTTGGAAAAATATTTTGGTTAAATTTATTTCTAGAATTATCAAAATAATTTAATATTTGTTAATGGTCATAGAATACTCTAATTATTTAAAAGTTTTTATATTCATAAATTTAATCTTCTTATTATTCAATGAAACTATTTCCTCTTTATTTTGAGAAAATGATAAGTTTTATTTTTAATGCAAACAAAAGCTTGCATAAAAGTTCAAACATGTGGTTTTCAAAGATTTAAATTGAATCTGTACAATAGATAATATATTTTAAATTTTTATTAGTATTGAATGTTGGTTCTTAGTTGCAAAAAGTATTTTAAGTTAATAACTATTAGTTTATAAATTAGCTGATTGCTTTTCTTATGAAAAAATGAAATTAATTATTTTATTGTATGAATTACTACTAATTTTATGATTTTTATGATCCAGAATCTACTTGATTATAGCTTTTTAAATCAATATCTGTTGAAAAGTCTCCACTAAGTTGCTTTATTTTTTTTGATTATTCGAAGTATAATTAAATGAAAGGACTAAAGGATTTTTATTATTATTTATTTAGAATTTCTTAACTTTAATTTTCCTATAATTTCTGGTGACTTAAGAACTAATTTGTCATTTGGTTTATACTTTAGCAGTCTATGTCTTATTGACTTAATTGACATTTACTTAATATTTCTATTCTTGAATAGTTAGAATTTATTTTTGAAATTATTTCATTATTAAAGTTCATATTTAAAAGCTCATTCTCATCGAATAGCTCATGAATTAATTCCATTAACTTAGAATGCTCTACAGGATTTGATACAGTTTACACAATATCCTTAATGATGTTACACATAAATGCATTAATTTATTAAGTTTAAGTAAGTGGCATGAACGTTTTAATAAAGCCATCAGAAAAATCAATAAAATTAATACCAATTTAATCTCCTTTGTTAATTAGTACTTTTTTTACTAAATTGCTCGTAAGTTAAAGGGATTGAATTAATTATTTGTTTTCTATATTCGATGAATACACCATTTATATTTATATTTTGGTATCTTAGTTAAACTTTTATTTCATTAAAGATAATTCTTTTGATGGTAGTTTTGTTTTTATGAAAATCTATTCTATTGCTTGAACTAATTTAAAGAAGTAATGAGATATTATGGTCTTTTTTTCTTCAAATATTCTAGTAAGTATTTCTGCTGCTTTTATGAGTTGTTATTAATTAATAAGGAATTCAGCTTCAGCAAAACTTAATAGCAAATCCATATTATCTATTGAAAAATAATTTTTGAAAAACTCTTTAGCTTATTAATCTGAATCTAAATCTCTGAAGACTTCAAAAATGTTTTCTAGGTCTCTAAAATTAGATTAATAAGAAACATTCTGTATTCTATTCTGCAATTATTGGTATTAAGAATATAGTTTATTTTAATCAGGTAAACCCTAAATGGAGTCAAAAAGTTTATCATTCTTTAAATGAGGAGAGATATTTAGATTATTTGTTTAATTTTATATGTTAAAGTTTAAAAACTAATTACTTTAAGATAACAAATTTAGAGTTTTATTTTTTTCTTCATCATCTTTTTATATAGAGAAAGATATTAGCTTTTGTTTGTTTGGTGGTTGCAAATAAATTTAAACAGGGGAGCCTTTTTGGTAATTATCTTGCGTAGGTCTATAGCATAATTAAGGGCTTTTTCTTTCGCTGTTAAATTTATTCTTAAAAACTGGCTAGAATTGAATATTATCATTTTTTAATTACTTTATTTGTATTTAACTTAGTTGCTTTCTACAGAAAAACAAAGTTTACTCTGATTTTGAATGATATTTTAATTTAAAATAACATTTGGAAAGCAAAACTTTTGTTTCAATTTCTAAAAACTCACTTTCATTTAAATATTTTGAAATTTCTTTCAAGTTTTTAGAAAGTTTTTTAATTTCAATCCAAAAGTTAAATTAAAACTAGCTCGTTCTAACTTTTTAGTTTTAGGAATCAACAAACTCTTAAAAAGCCAATAAAGAGATTATATAATTCCTTTATCTTTAATACAAATTTGTTAACAATAAATTTCTGTCTTCTTTTTGTTCATCAAGCAGGTTATTTTCTGTGTAAGATGTCTTTTTTGTCTACTAATTTTCTTTATATTTTTTATTATAACCACCAACTTTTAAAATGGAGAAGCGACTTTTTTCTTCTATCTTGAAAGATTCTCTTTCTTTGTATGACATTTAAAATTAGCTATTAGCTTTGTTCACTTATGAAAGGGTGCTTTTATTTTACTAATTTTATAATAAAATTTATTAAATATTTTTAAGTTAACAAAAAAGATTTTAAAATTAAAAAATTTTTTAATTTGGCTTAAAAAACAAAAAAAATTATACATTACCTTCAATGAATTTTAGTCGCAGTCATTTTTTTTGGTGTAGCAAAACTGTTAGAGAATGCTTGCGGTATGAGGATATTAATTGCAAAATTATTAGATTTCGTATTTAGCATAAACAATTGATGACTAAAAATGCTCCATAGCCTGGAAATAGTGACCTTATTAAAGTAAAATTGATCCAATATTATTGAGGGTAGTACCAACTGCTTTTAAGTTTCCAAATTATTTAAAAAACTCAATATTTTTATTTAATTTCAATAATTATTTTGTTTCATTTTCTTTGTAGTAATCTTCTGAAGACTATAGCATAATTTAATAAATCATTCTGAAACTTTCATACAACTCATAAGTTTCTAAAGAGAGCTAATCATCTTCGTTGACTAAATCAAATATATCTTAAGATAGTTATTAATCATTCATTTTAACTAATAACTTTGTTAGTTATTTAATCGAATTGTAAAATATATTCTTGATTTTAGATGTGTAAATAATTACTATTATAATGGATACTGATCCTAAAATTCCTAACAAAATGTAAAAAATAAGAAAGTAAGTTTTAAAAAAGTTTTCAATTTGCTCTGAATGTTTCTTTAAATCTTCGTCTGAAATAATGTTTATCTAAACGTAAGGAGTTTTAATTTAATACAAGCTGGATTTTAAATCAGTTGGAAGGTCTTCAAATTTTGGGCGTTTGTCAATAATATACACAGGATTCATTATAACAATAGTTTAAGTTCCATTTCTATTGTATTAAAATGTTTAATTAAAAGATTTAATTTCATTTAAGCTATCTATGTTAATGCTATTAACTTTTTTAAAAACAATATCGGCATAGTTTTAGTTAAGAGTTTGATTAAATGTAAAAGCTTCACTTTATTCTTATAAATTATCAAACTCTTAACTTTAGAGAGTTTCAATCGAATTTACTCCAAGTTTCTTTTAAGAGTTGTACAAAAGAATTTGACTCTTTGGTTCTATAAAATAAATTTGTTTAGTTGAGCTGGCATAGTTTTAGAAGTAATTTTGTGTATGATTAAATCTTAATTCTAAGCATACGACACTTTCAAGCTATTCCGAATTTGTGGTTTTGTTTTATACCATCATTCTTTAGCAAGATAACGAAGATAAAGAAGGAATTTGTGTAGCATAAATTAAACTAGGAGGAAACATTTAAACAGATTGCTATTAAGCTGATTAAATATACCAAAATCTACAACGTGGATCTATTCCTGTTGCGCAAAGTGGAACTTTGGGTTAATTTTTGATAGTAGTATTCATTCCGCTAATTGAATATAAAGCCTCATATTAAAATGTTTCTAAGAAATCATTTATTATTAATGTTTTTTGTGTGATTTTACTTTTTATTGCATCTTAAAGTTGAAATGCTCTCGAGAGAATGTGATATCTATCAAAAATATGGAGTTTTTATTAACCTAACTCATCTAATTAGCTTATATCAGTATAATTTGTTTAAAACCTAATTTTAATAAAAATTTTATTTTTAAATTAATCATTTTAAAAATAATTAAGGTTTAAAAATGTTTGATCCACTTGGTTTAAAATTTACAAAGTCTACTAATATTAAGTAAAATTCCATTTAGATTATTTAGATTGATTAAAAATAAGATTTTGAAAGGCTTCAAGAATGATGATTAAATTTATTGTAAATAATATATAAAAACAAAATAAACCCTTTGAAACCTAAAATTTTATTGATTGATTATTTAATTAATTAGTTATTACAGTGATCATAACTTCAAATTAGTTAGTTCTATCAAAATCTTATGGTGTAAATAATGATTGGGATATTTTAATGAAAAAAGTAATTTTTGAAAATAAATGTTGGATTTTTCTTTTGTTAAAAATATTCTATATTGCAATGAGTCGTTTGAGAAAAATATATATTTTTTAGGGTAAATCAGTTAAATTATTCATTTATATTGTTAAATTAATTACCAAAGGTTCACAAGTAAAGGACTTCTTTAGAAGATTTTTAAAATTTAGGGATCAACTTGATTTATATGAAGCATTTCGAGGGGAACCATAGAAGATATATGTTTTGGATTGTATTTCACTTTATTAGCTACCAGCTTTGATAGATATTGATTGAGAGTTCTGATATAAATAGGCACTTTTTAGAGTTCGTTGCTTAGTTGAAATGTAATCTATTAACTAAATATTTAGCTGTACATAATCTAAGATTAAAAGAGTTTCTCTTAAATCTAGCTATTGTACTCTTTAAGATAGATAAGAGCTATGTATTAGCTCATGATTGCTATTAAGAATATTAGACATATTGGTAAACTTACCAATAATATTAGCGTTGTCTTTATCTTCATAGCTTTTACTTAAAATTTAATTATCTTTCTTTTTAAAGATTTATATATTAGTTTGTTCTATTTATTCCCTTCTACTTTTAATGCTTTTTAACCAGAGGTTCACTCACACAATAAAAAAACTATAAGTATTTTTGGCTAATTAATTGATAAAATCTTACAAATTTAAATGAATTTTCAAATCATAAAGTAATACAATTAAAGGGTATTTATAAAATATATTTAAACAAACATTCCTTCAATTTTAATAAATTCATAAAAGCATTTAAGAAAAATGCAAAATAAAAGGTATATTTTAATGGCATTTATTAAAAAAAATATGAATTATTGTTGGAAGTTAGTATTTAATTAGTCTTTATTTTTACTTTTTGCTTAACTCAAACAAAAAAATATAAGATTACATTTACGCAATAATAATTGTGTAGACAACATTGAAAATAATTATTGATATTCAGAAATTATAATGAAAAATAATATAGCAATAATAAGTAATTCAAAATTGAGTTTAGCTTTTAGACCAAACAGATTAAATTTCATAAGAAAATAATCTTAATTAATAAAATCACATTCTAATTAAATCCAAAGGCTAAAAATCACTCCTTACAATAAGCTCAATTCACTTTCTATTTTTTTGTGTATTTAAATTTTTATATTTTTTTAAAACTTTTTAAAGGACAAATAAAATCTAAAAATAAATACAACAAATTTACATTTTTATCACAAATAAGTCTTAAAAAATGTAAAATTTGTTATTAAAACATATAAACTTTTATTTTGTGTAATCTGATAAATAGATATAGTGTTATGTATTTTTTTATATTAATTTAGTTCTGATAAAATACGTGGCTAGTTATTTAGGAAATTTTTATCTATATTTACATTTTTCATTTATTTTAATAGTACCAAAATTTAATATGTAAAAACAATAAGTGAAAGAAATTACATAATTTTTAAATTGATTATTAAACAATACATTAGGAATTTTGTTCATAAATTTGCTACTCATAATTATTAAAAAAATTAATATTTCATTGGATCAAATTAAATGATTTACTCTTAACTAAGTAAAAATATACATTTTATAACATAAGATAAAATTTATAAAATTTTTATATAGTATATCCTTGCAAGAATGCTATCCAATTAAAATATGAACTGTTCTAAAATTATTAAAAATTTTATTTAAGTATGATAATTTTTTATTTTTGAAAAGTAAATGGCATTAATAGAAGAAAAACGCTAGTATTTTTGATTGACTGTTATTCTTAAATATTTATTTCATTTTGATATAAAATGTTTAATTTTTTTTTTAACAATTAGATGCTTTAATAACTATATAAAAATTTAATGATATTGATGTAAGGTAATTAGAAATAATAATCATTACCAAACAATATTAATTTACTAGTAAATTACTTTCAAAGATTTTTTTAGCAGTTAAATAAAATATAAAGAAACCTCAATGATTCTAAATTATGGTAGGATAAACTTTTTTGTTAAATTAGCACCTCAAATTATTTATGTAATTTAAAATTTGTTAAGGTTCATAAAACACCATAATTTCTTATTTATATTCATGTATAAAAGTTTAATTTTCCTTTTATTCTATAAAACTATTCCCTTTTTGTTAAGCTAAAATAATTATCTTAATTTTCAATCCAATTAAGAGTTGACATAAAAGCTTAAACATTCTATTCTCAAGAATTTAAATGGTATCTGTGCAGTAAATAATATATTTCAAATTATTAACATTATTAAAGTTTGCATTTTATTAAAGATTATTGATTTATATAAATTATTATTTTTGAATAAATTGAGCAATAGCTTTTCTAACAGCGAAATGAAATAAATCACTATTTTATGAGAATGAATTGTTTTGAGAAGTTTCTTAAATGCAAGAATCGTTCATAATCACATTATTTATGTCATCGCCATAAGATTACTAGATTTTTTTTGACTCTCTAAAACTTTTTTAAATTAAGGTAGTTTATTTACATTATTAAAATGAAATTTATTATTTTTTATTGAAATCTAAACAATTTGAATTGATGGAAGATTAATCCAAATTTTCATGGATTTAACCTTCTTATCTTTATAAATTTTTTTTCTTATATGAGTTTTATAGTTCATACTTAGACACATTCATTTGTAAAACTTTTTTAGTTGTTTCATTATTATTTTAAAAGCTTAATAGCTTATTTTCTTCAAACATCTAATTAGCTGTTATAAGAATATTAGGAAAATCTTCTGTGGTAGTCGTTAATTTAATAATATCATTTACTATTTTACCCATTATATTATTTATTTTATAGGCTTCAATCAGTGGCAAATATGTCTATATAAAATGATCGAATTTATGTGTTAGAGTTATTGATATCTAATCTCGTTTTTTTGTAAGAATACAACTAGTTAGGTTACTTACAAGTTGAAGTAACTTTACCATCTATCTATTTTCTTATTAATTACTAAAAATAATTTAAACATGGATTCCTAAATCATTTTTAAGATTTTATTTCATTCTATTCATCTCATTTGATTCTATTTTTTGGCTTTTAAAAATTGAATAAAGCTGATCAATAATTTTGTATCTATAATGTGACATAATTCTTTTTTTCTCTTCAAATATTTTTGTTAATATATCTGCAGCTCTAAAATAGTTCTAGACATAAATAAGTTATGCAATTTCAGCAAAATTTAGCATCAAATCTAAATTTTCAAATGAAAAGTAGTTATTTAAAAACTATTATGCTTGTTAGTCTTATTCTTAATTTCTAAATAACTCAAATAAACTTTCTAAAATGCTTAAATTATTGTATTAAAAGGAATCTTAATAAGATTATTTTATTTACATATCTTTAAATTTTTGTTTTTTTTAAATAGAAGAAAGTTAAATAGTTTCTAAGTGTTGATTACTCTTCAAAGATTGCCCCAATACTTTTTAATCCTTAAAATAGGTTACGTCATTCCATAAATTAGTAAAATTGCCATTCGAAAATTAATTACTCAAAAATAATTAATTATAAGTTCCATCTTCCTCTTCATCATATTTTTATAAAACGTTAGATGTAAAATTTTGCTATTGTTAGTCTATTAGCAATATGTTTTAAGATTAATTGACAGTTTGATGAAATTGTATCCCTCTTTTAAACTTTTTTGTTTACTTTGTAGATAGTTAAGGACTATATTTTTCATTAAAGCTTAAAATAGATTGAGGACAAACTTTTTTTTAACTATTTTATAGCTCATTTATTTATATTTAACTAAGCTACTTTCTACAATATAATAACATATTTTATGATTTTGTTAGTTTATTCATTTTAAAATAGCATCGAGACATCAATAGCTTAATTTCTACTTATTACTATTTATTTTGTGGTAAATGCTTTGTAATTTTTATCAAACATTTACAAAGCTACTCTATTTCAGGCCAACAGTTAAATTCCTTCGAGCAGTGCTGTATTTTTCCTAAGGAGTCAAAATATTCTTAAAGCGCATAAAGAGAAATTATAAAGTTTCTTTCTCTTTAATATAAATTATTTAAAAGTTCAACTCCTTGCTCTTTTAATTCATCAATAAACTTAGTTTCTTAAAAAATACATTCTTTGCTGTTACAATAGCTGTCTCTCACTTGTTTAATATTATTATTTACTCTCTCAATTGAAAATATTCTCTTATCTTTATCCCTATTTTTCTATTAATTAAAACTATTTTTCTATCTGAGCTCATAATAAGTCTTGCCTTTATTTTTCTGTTTAATTTTTATATAAAAAAGTAATTAGTTACTGTAATATTAATATGAAATATTTTATTTAAAAAAATAGTCGAAATATTTACATCAATTTCTTAGTTGCACTCTTACTGTTCTAATTAAAAGTAGCTGAAACTTTAGAGAACGTCAAATAATGTGAAACTTGGATGTAAATTTAAAAACTCTTGAATTTCATATCTAGCATAAATTATTGAAGATTAAAAATTTTCTAAAGCTTGAAAGTAGTGCTCCTGTTTTAGTAATATTGAACCTATGTTATTATAAGTAATACCTACTGCTTTTATATTTCCAAACTATTTGAAAAATTCAATATTCTCATTTAATTTCAATAACTGCTCAGTATCATTTTAATTATAAAAATCTTCTGAAGAATAAAGCATAATTTAATAAATCTACTTGAAACTGTCATACAATTAGCTTGCATCTAAAGATAATTATTAGTCTGCGGAAATAATATCGAATATGCTTGATGATAATTTTTTGTCATTCATTTTGATTAAAATATCTGTTAATTAGTCAATTGAAGTATAAAAAATTTTCTTAATTTTAGATGTGTAGTATATGATGACTAAAATGGATATTAAGCCGAGAATTCCAAATGATATGTTGAATGCTAAAAAGTAATTTTTAAAAAAATTTTCTATTTTCGATGCGTGAATTCTTAAATTTTCATTTGAGATAATATTAACCTGCACATATGGAAATTTAATTAAATAATGGCTAAATTTTTTATTATTTTGAAGATTTTAAAGTTAAGGGCTCTTATCAATAATCTAAACAGGATTCAAAATCACTATTGTTTTTGTACCATTTCTATCATATGAAAAGGTTTGACTAAAAGAATTAGCTTCATCTAAATATTCTGTTATTAGATTGCTAACATTTTTGAAAATAGAATTAACATAATTCTGATTAAGAGTATTGTTAAACTTAATAGCTTCATTTTGTGATTACAAGTACTGAAATTCAGAATTATTTAAAGTTTCAATACTAGTCATACCCAAAGGCTATTTAGAATCATATAAAAGAATTTAACTTCTAGGTTCTAAAAAGTAAACTTATTCTGTTGAGCTTGCAAAGTTCTAGAAATAATTTTGAGTTTGATTAAAATATAATCCTGAGCAAATCACGCTTTATAAATCTTCTTACTATGTAGTTTAGTTAAATAGCATAATCCTTTAACATGATAATGTAGATAAATAAGGAGGAGAATATCCGTAAATCAAGCTAGGTGGATATATCTATACAGATTCCTACTAAGCAGTTTAAGTATACCAATATCGACATCGAACATCATTCCCAGCAATACAACTTGGAGCTTTATGTGAAACTTTTAAAGTAGAATTAACTCCAGTAATAGAAAATATCCCTTCATATTAAAAGGCTTCAAAGAAATCACTTATAGCTAAAGTTTTTTAATTTATTCTACTTCTTTAGATATCTTGGTATTAAAAAGCTCTTGAAAGAGCATGGTATTAATCCAATATTTTAAGTTTTTGTTAGCCTATTTAATCCATTTAGCTTACAGTACTATAATTTGACTAAAACCTATATTTAAAATAAAATTTGGTTAGTATAAAATATATATTATGCCAAAAAAAGTTAGTAAGGTCTATTTTTTGAGATCCGTAAGTTTTAACTTACATTTAATTCTTAACCACTAAAATTAATTAATTATTAATTAATAAAAATTTAAATGTGTAACATTGCTTCTAAATTTGTAATAAATAAGAAGTAGTAAAGAATATATTTTATTCTAATAAATTTATGAAAATGTCTTCATTCATTTAATTTTATTTTTAAGGATTAAAATAAAAATAAATATATTTTTGGAGTTAAATAATTTGAGTTTTAAACACTTTTTTACCAGCAATTAACTAGAATACGGCTTCTCTTAAACATTTTCAATATTTATGGATCAGCTTGGTTATCATGGAGCTGTTATATGGGAACCATAGAGGATTTATGTTTAGGATTAGATTTGACCTACCCTTGGATGAGTTTAGCTAGATACTAATTCAGAGTTCTAACATTTATAGGAATTTTTTATAGCTCTTAGCTAAGTTAGAAAGAAATTTATTAGCTAAATATTTAGCTAAACATAATTTAAGTTAAGAATAAATTATTTTAAATCTAATTGTTGTAATCGTTTAAGTAAATCAGAGCTACATACTAACTCATAATTGCAATAGTGAATACTAAAATTATTGGTAAACTAGCCAATCCAATAATCATATACTTTATTCTCATTGCTAATATTCAATAGAACTTGTTTCTTTTATTTTTATTTTTAAGTAATTAACTAAATAAAATTAAAATTTTTCTTGAAAAACAAAGTTTTTCTTTTAGTTTTTAATTTCTTACTTTTTTATTTTAATGCATACCATAAGTAGTAAGTATATATGATTTATTCTATGATTTATTATTAATCATAAAAAATTTTATAGCTAAAAAGTCTGTAAACTAAAAATCTTAAATAGTGCCCATGTACTGAAATTTTACATTACTGTCTATAATGACAAAATAAAGGTGAGAACCTATTTAACAATATATTTAGTTATTCCTTTTTAATTTAAAAATTATTGAAATTTGATAATAAAATCAACTACTTTTAGTTTAAAATTGTAATGCTATTGAAAACACAGATATGGAATCATATAAATTAAAATTTATTATAAATTGAATATTTAATTTTTAGGAACATTTGAATCTTTTAAAGAAGATTTTGTTTATTAAATTATTTAAATAAGTAAAGTAAGTAGTCATAACTATTATTAGTTTTTATTACATTATTTTATTCTTATTAAAGTTACAGATCTTTTAACTACTTATTAAATTTATGAAACCATTTTTTTTGCTCATTTATTTTATTACAGTATTGATTTTTTTGTTTTACTTATGTGGCTATATCGTCTCTCTAGTTATATTTTTAAATTTTAGAATATTTTATAAATAATATAAGTTTTATATTTGATGTGAGCTTTCAAGAATTTGATTCATAGCTTGAGTCTGTCTTGACTTAGAAGTAGATTCTTAAATTAGTTTTTATTGTATATTAGTATTTAATTTAATATTTGGCTCCTCATTAAATAATCCTATTTAAGCTAAAGTAATTTTTAAATGAACTCTTTTAATTAACTATTATAAATTTATTCTTTTTAATCCGCTTAATTGGTATTTAGATATTTCTATTTTAATTAACTGGGATTACTTAGTTTATCTTATCATTTTTTTATTTTCTTAATTGTTAGTATTTTCAATTTTAGCAAAATCTGTCCTTATTTTAGAATATAAAGTATTTATAGAAGAAAAACTCTTTGTCTGAAATTGCATATTTTTAATGGTTGTACTTACAGTTCAAATAAAGCTATTGCAAAGATTCGTTCTCATATATAAAAATTGTTTTAATTTTCCTTCTGTCTCCTCTAATGGGAGAATTAGAGGCATAGAGTTTTGCTATTTTTTAAATGCTTTACTGAGTGAATCTAAGATTTTAGATTTTTTTATGATATGAGTTAGACTATCAATATCATTAAAATTGGGTTATTTTTCAATGTTGGTTTCTACTTCATTTAAATCATTTTCACCATAATATTAAAGATCTAATCAAGTTTTTTGTAAGAATATTACTGTTTAGGTTACTTAAAAGTTGAAGTAACTTCACCATCTATTTATTTTCTTATTAAGTACTAACTTAAACAAGAATTCCTAAATCATTTTTAATATTTTTTTTCATTTTATTCACATAATTTGACTCGATTTTTTGACTTTTAAAAAGTTGAATAAACTAATCAAAAATTTTGTAATTATAATGCGACAATATTCTTTTTTTCACCTCAAATATTTTTGCTAACATATCTGCATTTTAGAGTAATTCTTAACATAAATAAGCTATGCAATTTCAGCAAAATTTAGCATTAAATCTAAATTCTCAAATGAAAAGTAATTATTTAAAAACTATTATGCTTGTATGTCTTTTTCTTAATTTCTAAATAACTCAAACAAATTTTCTAAAAAGATTAAATTATACAATTAAAAGGAATCATAATAAGATTATTTTATTTACATATCTTTAAATTTTAATTTTTTTTTAAATAGAAGAAAGCAAAAGAGTATCTAAGTGTTGATTACTTAAATAAACATAAATAAACTTGATAATTTTTATATAAAACAATCTGAAATAATAACCACTATGAAATGATATTAATTTACTAGTAAATTACTTTCAAAGGTTTTTTTAGCAGTTAAATAAAATATAAAGAAACCTCAATGATTCTAAATTATCGTAGGATAAACTTTTTTGTTAAATTAGCACCTCAAATTATTTATGTAATTTAAAATTTGTTAAGGTTCATAAAACACCATAATTACTTACTGATGATCATGCATGTAAGTTTAATTTTCCTTTTATTCAATAAAACTATTCCCATTTTGTTAAGCCAAAATAATTAACTTAATTTTCAATCTAATTAAGAGTTAACACAAAAGCTTAAACATTCTATTCTCAAAAATCTAAATAGTTTCTGTGCAGTAAATAATGTATTTCAAATTATTAACATTATTAAAGTTTGCATTTTATTAAAGATTATTGATTTATATAAATTATTATTTTTGAATAAATTATGCAATAGCTTTTCTAACAGCGAAATGAAATTAATCACTTTTTTATGAAAATTAATAGTTTTGAGAAGAATCTTAAATGCAATAATCGTTCATATCCACATTATTTAAGCCATCACCATAAGATTATTAGATTTTTTTTGACTCTCTAAAACTTTTTTAGGCAGTTGATTTAGTAAATGATTCTGAAATTTATTATTTTTTATTGAAATCTAAACAATTTGAATTCATGGAAAAGTAATCCATATTATAATCGATTTGACCTTCTTATTTTTCTAAATTGTTTTCCTTTTATGAGTTTTATATTTCATACTTAGAGACATCCATCTATAAAACTCTTTTAGTTGTTTCATTAATATTTTAAAAGCTTAAAAGCTTATTTTCTTCAAACATCTCATTAGCTCTTATAAAAATTTTAGAAAACTCTTCTTCGCTAGTCGTTAGTTGAATAATATCTTTTATTATTTTACCCATCATATTATTTATTTTATAGGTAATTAATTTGATAATTTTCATTTCTCAGTTAGTCATTGAAATCACAAAAATTAAATTAAAAAGTAAAATTTGATTTCTCCCTAAGGTTTTATTTAAATCACGGTATCTAATTAATTATGATAAATAAAAAAAGGATAGAAATATGATTCATGGATAATATTTAAGATAATAATATAACTGGCATATAAAAGCTTGGCATTTTTTTAATTTAATAAGATATATTAAACTAAAAGTTCCAAATTATTTTATCGTTTTTGGAGAATTCGGAGGGTTTGCTTAAGAGAATTTAATTTATTTAAGTAAATTTAATTTTTAAATTTTTTTATTTTTAATAAATAATTTATTTACTTACAAAAATATGAATGATATTTATAAATTTAAAATCAATAATAAAAACTATAAATCTATTTATATTTTAGGTTAAAAACACTTTTTAAAAATATTAAATAATAAAATATATAATATTATTCAAACATTTTATATTGATTCATCCTTTTTTCACCAGCTGTTTATCATCAGAAATTTTAATTAAAGACAACTAATCTTTATGATTTAAGACACTTGCCTTTTACTTTGAATTTTTATGAAATTTTCATTGAGCTAAAAATTTTAAAATAAATCTGTGTAAATTTTAAATAAATATAAAAATAGAATAAACTTTTAAATTAAATTATTCTTTAAATTTATAAATAAAATAATATTAGTGCAATAAAAAAGATAAAAAAATAAATCAAATAAATTCAAAGAAATTTTTTTTATATTCATTTTTATAGTTTAAAATATCACAATTCAAAACAAATAAACTGTTTTTACCAAAGGTTAAGTGTCAAATTTGAGAGATTAATGCATTTTGCTAAAGCTGAACCTAAGCCTGATGCACCTTCATCACCAATTTTATTCCAACTTTTTAAATATTGAAGAAAAAATATATCATTAAATAGTTAATTAGAAGGAAAAAATGAAGAAAAAATATGAAATAATAAAATTAATTAATAATAAAAGCAAATGAATAAAATAAATGATGAGCTTAATTAACAAAGAAAAAACAAAACAGCAAGCACGATAAAAAGAAAAAGAAAAAAGAGCTTTATTGTTTTTAATTAGTTTTTATAATTAAAAATATCACAATCCAAAACAAATAAACTGTTTTTACCTAAGGTTAAGTGTCAAATTTGAGAGATTAATGCATTTTGCTAAAGCTGAACCTAAGCCTGATGCACCCATTGCACCAATTTAATTAGACCTTTTTAAATATTGAAGAAAAAATATATCATTAAATAGTTAATTAGAAGGAAAAAATGAAGAAAAAATATGAAATAATAAAATTAATTAATAATAAAAGCAAATGAATAAAATAAATGATGAGCTTAATTAACAAAGAAAAAACAAAACAGCAAGCACGATAAAAAGAAAAAGAAAAAAGAGCTTTATTGTTTTTAATTAGTTTTTATAATTAAAAATATCACAATCCAAAACAAATAAACTGTTTTTACCCAAGGTCAAGTGTCAAATTTGAGAGATTAATGCATTTTGCTAAAGCTGAACCTAAGCCTGATGCACCTTCATCACCAATTTAATTAGACCTTTTTAAATATTGAAGAAAAAATATATCATTAAATAGTTAATTAGAAGGAAAAAATGAAGAAAAAATATGAAATAATAAAATTAATTAATAATAAAAGCAAATGAATAAAATAAATGATGAGCTTAATTAACAAAGAAAAAACAAAACAGCAAGCACGATAAAAAGAAAAAGAAAAAAGAGCTTTATTGTTTTTAATTAGTTTTTATAATTAAAAATATCACAATCCAAAACAAATAAACTGTTTTTACTTAAGGTCAAGTGTCAAATTTGAGAGATTAATGCATTTTGCTAAAGCTGAACCTAAGCCTGATGCACCCATTGCACCAATTTAATTATACCTTTTTAAATATTGAAGAAAATATATATCATTAAATAGTTAATTAGAAGGAAAAAATGAAGAAAAAATATGAAATAATAAAATTAATTAATAATAAAAGCAAATGAATAAAATAAATGATGAGCTTAATTAACAAAGAAAAAACAAAACAGCAAGCACGATAAAAAGAAAAAGAAAAAAGAGCTTTATTGTTTTTAATTAGTTTTTATAATTAAAAATATCACAATCCAAAACAAATAAACTGTTTTTACTAAAGGTCAAGTGTCTATTTTGAGAGATTAATGCATTTTGCTAAAGCTGAACCTAAGCCTGATGCACCTTCATCACCAATTTAATTAGACCTTTTTAAATATTGAAGAAAAAATATATCATTAAATAGTTAATTAGAAGGAAAAAATGAAGAAAAAATATGAAATAATAAAATTAATTAATAATAAAAGCAAATGAATAAAATAAATGATGAGCTTAATTAACAAAGAAAAAACAAAACAGCAAGCACGATAAAAAGAAAAAGAAAAAAGAGCTTTATTGTTTTTAATTAGTTTTTATAATTAAAAATATCACAATCCAAAACAAATAAACTGTTTTTACCTAAGGTTAAGTGT